TTTGCTTTGTTTAAGTATTGTCAACAGACTTAATGAAAATTTTCTTGTCATTTCAATGCATTACAATTACAATTACTTTATTTCTTTATCTATTTATTTATATTTTGACAATCTGAAAAATTCCACATATAAAATTAAGCTTGTGGTTGTCATAAATGAAGATACTACATAATGGCTTGATAACAATGGGGCGTTAATGATAATAAAGCCTGTTTTGTGGTTATTTTTAATTTTACAAATCATCCACAAATTCAGAAGGGTCTTTATGGATGTTATGAAAAATAATGTTCATCATTTAACACAAAAATCATATTTATTCATCTATTTACTTACATTGACATTACAAGTATCAGATGGCACTACTCCAGCTCTTGCTAATAATCTATCAGAAAGAACATTTATAATAATTATTTTGAAAGTAGGCCTACATAAAGCAGAAACATGAGGAAAATTTTCCAAAAAATAATTTTGTTTGTTTTAAACTTTTTTCTTAAAGCCAATGATTATCTAAACAAATGATTATGGAATTATGATTATGCTGGAAATGCACAAAAAATGATAAAAAATCACCCAACAGAAAACTATATTAGTACTACATTACAGAATATGTCAGTATCACATTACAAGACAGCAGGCATGATTATAGTAATATTCTACCCATCCACAACTCACATTGTAGCATTATACTTCTGGTGGAGCTCAAGACCTTTGGAGAAGTATTTGAATTGACTCCCTAGTGCAGGCAGTGAGGCAGCACAAGTCCCATGCTTATCCCACTCGTGCTGCCTGTAAAAAAAGTAAAAAAAATAGTATAATGATGTCAAAGAAATATGAAATGTTATACAATGCTTAATTGCAACTAATGTCATGTTTCATTTAAGTCAAATAGTAATTTAGAAATAGGTTAACTGTTAACAAGCAGGAATGGAGGGACTTACCAAAATTCTGTCTTTTCAGAGTCTGTATATAGATTTGGCCAGTTTACATCCAGATTAGTTTCAATCGGCTGCAATGTGACAAAATATGTAATAGATAGATAAGTGGCAAAATAGAAACTTCCATGCAACTTTCCAACAAATAAATTGGAAATATCCAGCTTTTCAGAAATAAATCATTGTACTAAGACTTACTTTAATCAGCTTCTCATCAAAAGCCCAGGTTTTGTTGCAGTATGATGGTTCATCTTTGCTCCCTTGTCTGTTGGGCCTGAAAATCAGTTTGATGGAATGAGTTCTGATGTTTTGGGTATGAAAAGTTATTTACTTTTAATAATATTCTCTTCATAACAGAACACACCAATATGATTTAATCTCTCTCAATCCAGAAAGTACAAAACATACATAAAGCGCAACAGAGAAGCTCTTTACTCATACTTACCAAAGTCCATGGACTGTCCAAAAGGAAATATCTTTAGGGATAGCACATTTGTGTTCCTTAAATGTAATAAGCTCAAGGAGTTAATGCCATATGAAAGCAAAGCTACAGGATAATGCATACAAAAAGAAAACATTGAAATAGTGAATTTAAATAAGGAGCATCAAATAACAGGAACATGTGCATTTTCAACTGAAAATGTAAAGGAACTCAGAAGCTAGAAAAGGAACTGTGTATTAAAAATAATAAAACGTAATGGCGCAAAGAAATGGAAATTGGAATTAACATAACAAAAAGAAAAATCAAATAAATTTAAAACAAGCTACATGTACATGTTTCTCTGTCTTAACTTTAATACTTTTAGTTGATCATTCTGTTCTGAGCTGATCAATTGAAATATGACCTGTGATAAATACCTCATACACTGAATCACACACAGTTTGTGGCCACTGTTGAGTGAACACCATGTAATCCCATTCATTATTACTACTGCAGCTAAAAAGAAGAGGTGAAATGTGTACCCAATATGAAACACACAAAATTAATTTTCCTAGCTATCATATGTTCTTCAGATCATGTGTGTGCCAATTTGGATCATACAGTGGGATATATCAGGGACGTGTACCGCTGTCTGTTTGAGAGTATTGGGTCGTTTTTGTCAGTGTCTTTTGATTTTAAGCTTAAAAAAACGCCCCCAGTTCTTAAATGGTAAGGCACTAGTGATTGTCATTTCTTAGTACATAATAAACTGGCCTAGACTGATTCATCAATTTATTTGCTGCTTACCTCACTATGAAAACTGCATAAAGGAGCACATCCTTTATCCTCATTTCGAAGCCGTTGGTATGTAGTACATGTAGTTTCACAGCCTGGCAAAAAAAAGAAAACATTAACGTTAAAAAACAACTTTTGAAACTGAGAGAGAGAGAGAGAGAGGGAGGGAGGGGAGGGAGAAAGAGAGAGCTAGAGAGATTCTTAATACATACAACAACTTTAATTCACCCCAGTTCACACGTCAAACTGGCTAATTTCTACTTACTTTCTCCACTGGTGTGCCCGTCTGCTAGTCGGTATGCTGTTTGTCATGTGACCACGACCCCCAACATCCGGTTGGGTATTTCCGGTGTAACAGCTAGGACCCAGCTAGGAATGGTAGTCCCAGGAACTCGCTAGGAGCCGTAGTCCGCTCCCCATTAATTTGTGTAGGTGACATTCGTCCCATATACCAAATAATTATAACATCACTTGGAACGAAGAACTTGTTAGAAAACAACAAAGACAGATCACAGAATGCTTAATGCACACGCAGTCGTATCGATTATGTGGGGCCCCGGACTTCCATTCCGAGAACTATCATTCCTGTCACACTTTTTTGTACACGCAGTTTTTCATTTATTATTAATGGTTTGTCTTGTATAGAAGAGAGTTTTTTATTTTATTTTCATTTATTTACTATTATTATCTTTTTACCTAGCAATTTTTTCAGTATTTACAATTCTGACAAATACTGTACTGTAGGCAAGCTTGATTGTACAATGTGCATGTACACTGTACTCTGCTTTATCATCTACAACAGCAATTTAGTGGCCCTTTCTTGAAATGGACTTTCACAAAAAGTACATATTGTATGATGGTCTTTTACCACTGTGCCGGTACACGTACAGTTTAGGCTATACTGGTGTCCCTGAATTGTGCAATACAGCACAATACACGAGACATATCATCAGGTCTGCAGCCATGTTGGTGTGTGACCCCTCTTGGCAATATTAACAGCAAAGAAGAGCCACTTGTTAACATGATGGACAACCCGACGATAAACAAATCGTGCCAATTTGTTTAGTTGTATCAACCATATCAATTACATAGTAATACTGGTAAATGTCACTTTTATAACATCCTATTTTGTGTGGAACGAAGATCTAATAAGCGGTATATTAGATTTTAGTGTGGAATGACCGTTTCCCTAGTTTACTTGTGACTGAAAAAGTCTCAGTCTATACCAATGCAAAGATGGCACTGTGGGCAACATCCATATGCTGGTGCATCCCAGCTATAGGTCTGGGGTAATTAAGCCCAGTGCATATGAAAGTTAATTCCCCCCCCCCCCCCCCAAGAGGTGTGTCATTCAGTTAAGCTCATTGCACTTAGCGAGAGCCCCTGCAAATCTAGTTGGTTCAATCCAACTAGTACGATGTCTCTCTGCATGCTCCCTTAGTCTCCCCCCCTTGCATTTTTATAAATATGTATATTGGACATAGTGTCCATCATCACCATGATTCTTCCTAGAATTTTGATTTGTATAAACACAAGTAAAAGAAAACAGTACATTTTCTCAAACTCATATAACGTTACATACAAAATAGTTAAATTACCAAAATACACCTAGAGTTCAAAAACCAGCCTCCTGGGATAATTTTCATGATATTATGATGCTTTTTGTGTATTTTTCACAAAATGATGTTTTCTGAGCGAGAATCTGAAGTGAAGTTTAAATGTCGCTGCTTCTGTCAGTTGATGTTTATACTAGCATGTCTATTTTACAGCTTTGTTGCCTTGTGTTTAAATAATGTTACGTTTTTCGTCATTGGTGTCTGTACATTTGCCAACTTTGTTGCCTTTGTCTCTTTATATATTTGAAGAAAACAAAATGTAAAGAATTCAAAAACAATTATTGGTTAATTGCCCCCAGCACATATGGCCTTTTAAACAGAGGATGGCTTGGTTTAAATAATTGCTGGGTGCTAAAACCATCCCTTTATGGTATTAAGTTGAATTTTATTTAGTATCTCAAGGGTACTTTTCAGACAGATATAATTATTTATTTTTGGTGGCAATAAATAATAAAAAAATACAGCTGCACATGGTTAATTTGACAAAGTAACTATGTTGAATAAAAAGGCAAAAAATTGTTCCATAATTAACAAAAGCCGTAGGTCAAAAATAACATTTTTTGTGATATACAATCTATTCTTCTAGTCATATTTATAAATTAAAGAAGATTGGTTAATAAGAAATGTTTCTTGAGCACTGGACTTCTAACAAATCATTTAAAAAAGAAATTTTAAAAAATTATTGTTCGAAGGTGTAATCAAAAATATATATCAGTATATATACACACATAACATGCAAACAGAACATATACTTTTAAGAATGTACCTATTACAGATCTAGTCAATGAATCTCCACTGATTGGCTAGAACTCCATCACTGCTGATAAAACTTTAAAAAAAATCATTATACACTGGTCCAATTTAAATGCTATCTTGAACTTATGTGGCATTTAATTCCTTCCATGATGTAGAGAATCACATATTAATGGCTTAGTAAGCAATTCCTTCATTTAGCATGGCCTGCTGTTCAGCTTCTTTGGCTCTGCGTTCACATAATCTCCTGTATCTTTCCAACTCCTAGAAGAAGAAAATTGTAGAACTTATTGAAACATTTTTCAATTCAATAAACACAGATGAATGATTAAAGCTTTAAAAGATTTAAGTTTGATGAAAAATCCACGACAATGAAATGAAAAAATATTAATCAATAACATCATGTAGTTACTGTGTATAAAACATTTTCTTTACCTCATCTTTCTGTTTTCTCATTGAATCAATTGCTGGCTCTGCATACTGGATATCTTTTGCTGGATCTTCAACTGAAGTAGGGGTGTTTAGATTCTGGAAAGTACACAGTTAAATATAACAAGAATTTATAACATGCATGACTAATTTCATTACAGATTAAGTGCTTAAACCTGAATAAATGGTTAACAGTATTTAAAGGGATAATAACTCTTCGTATGACATCTATATTTCACAATAAAAACATTGTGAATAACTCATTGAAATATGTTCTGTTTTATCACAAAAATGGCAGTTATAGCTATTATTCTGATATCTGAGCTTGTCTTTAGACCACGTGACCTCCACTGATGGCTATACTCTGCTAAAATCTCTTAAGAGATTTTAACAAAAAACCAAACTTTTTAGAAAAAAATCAGGGACTAACTTTGAATGTAAAAATGGATNCATCTTTTGCTGGATCTTCAACTGAAGTAGGGGTGTTTAGATTCTGGAAAATACACAGTTAAATATATCAAGAATTTATAACATGTATGACTGATTTCATTACAGATGCAGTGTTTAAAACAATAAATGGTTAACAGTACTTACAAAAGATTCTGAAAGAAATCCATAGTGTTAGCAATGTTTATTTCTATCCAAAGGCATTTTTTACAGCAAAAATCTAAAATTATACTAGATAGGTACAGAATTTTACACCCATAATGTGGTTAATCAAATAATAACAAGAAAATTCAACTAAAAATTAAAGTTGTCACAATATGCTATTTCAGTGATAAAATTGATTTTTATTCATGCCTGATATCATCTTCTTTTAATTATTATTCCAAAGCACTGTACTCACCTCTTGTGGAAACATGCTACAATAAGCTCTCTTCCAAAGATCTAAAGGAGTTCTGAATAAAATAAAGATAAAAAAAATAACATTCATTCATAATATCTAATCTCTTTATGAAAAGACTAAATACAGGTTTAAATTTAATATTCTTTTATTATGCATTGCAAAATGTACAAATCAAAATCTGATTCACACCTACCCAGTATGAAGCAATGCTATGGGAGCAATCACAACAACAACAACAGTGGTAACCCTGTGTTTGTATGTAAAATGCAGTTTGTGTGAATGACTTACTTTGCACTGCCTACTCCTAGTTCATCATCAGAGAGAGGTGGACTACCAATCTGACTCGCAGCATCCAGCCCAGCTGGTATCAAGAGAGGCTTGTTTTGATCCACTTGGACTGTTTTACTAAAATATATCCATGGTTAAGTTACATTTGGCCACCTTTTCTAATGATATCCATTTAATTGTTAAATGTATTATCAATCATTCTCATCTATTTTATATCATCAATCAACAACATTTATATTCTATTTGTTATATGGCTTTGCTACAGATTCATGTAACTTCAATTTAAAGAATCGTAGGATTTATGGAACTCAAAGTTGGAAAATGGTCAGGAAGCCAATCTGATCTTCAACAAAATCAATTTAAAAACTTTTTTAAAAGAAATACTCATCACAATGATTACCCCATATACACATTCCAATCAATTAAATGTTACCTAAAAACAAACTCACCTCATATTTGTGCCAAATACATAATGGCTTATTAAAGCTCTAGTTCTCTGAATCAAAGTCTCTTGTTTGCTGCTGAAAAACTGTAAAAATATATCTCGTATTAATTGCAATAAAATTAATGCACAGCAGTAAAGATATCAATTCAAGTTCGACATATTACATGTAATTTATTATATCACTGTCACTACTATTTGTTAATTACAGTGTATTTTATTGCCCCACAGTAAAAATAAATAAATAAAAACAAGCAGTGACAAATACTAGTGCACACTGTACTTCTTTCAAAACATTTTAATTAATAGTCTTTTCCAGGGCAAAATTTCACCACAATTTAAACATAACTTACTATTAATGTTGCTCCATAAGAATGTGCTACAAATCTTAATGTTTTGCAAATTGTTTTCCTTTTTTCTGGCTCAAACTCCTGAAAAAAATCATGCAGGTTTTTAAATTTTGAATTGAAGGGAAAAATGAAACTATGCAGTGGTGTCATATTTTGAGTTTTTCCAGTTTGTAATACAATCTTATTTTCATCACTGAGTTTGTATTTTTGCTGTATTTTTAAGCACAAGAGTTACAAACTCTTTCTTAGCTTTGAAATATTTGAAATGTGTACATCAAGACCCATAATTCAAATATCTAATGACATTTAAAAGATCCAGTAGCAGTTTGAGCATCTCAGATTCTACTCACTTGAAATAGGTCGTATTTACTTCCAATAATTGCCAAAGGTATGGGGAATGGATCTAGTAATTCTTTATCCTGTAAAATGAACCAAATAATTTGCAGTGACAATCAGACATTTTAAGCATATACATGTACAATAATCATGAAGAAACATATGCCTTATAGACACTATTTTCTCTAGGGCAATGTACTGCAAGCATATTCATTGGGAAATTATTAAAAATAACTTATAATGCATATAATAGTATCAGTTGATATCATCTAAGTTGTCCCTTTCAGTCAAATGCCAAACAAACCATGTCATTTGAATAGTATTATGACTTAGCTTGGTTTAAGAACCACCTAGGAAAATTCAGAATGAGCAATCATAAGAACGGACAACATTTTAAACTGAACAGTTCATCTGTATAATTTTAAGCCTGGTGTACCCTAGCTATACCCCAAATCCATACATTACTATAGGATAATACTGCTATAAACAAACTTCCCAAACAGGAGGATATTGTTTTTAATAAAACAGGGCTTGACACTAACTTTTTTCGATACTGGCCCGCGATATGGGTAAATATTGCAAGGATGATTTGACACATGACATTTTACTTGGTCTTTGGCCCAGTGACCCCATCGATTCAATGGCCCTAGTTTGGTTTTCAGTGGCCCAGGGCCAGTGGGCCACCCTTAATGTCAAGCCCTGTAAAATGGCTCACAAAGTAAAATTTAAGGCTATCTGCCTACTTACCGGGTGGTCCTCTCCCACTCTCTCCCATGCAGCGTGTTCCATTTTCTGTGCCAGTTCTGGGTTTTTGTTTTTTAGTTCATTCATTGCAACCTTCACTTTACTCTGAGCTTCATTTAAGAGACATTCTAAGGTTGCCCATAGCTCATTAGGTTGAGACAAATCTAGGACCATAACCAATGCTGTGTTCCTAAGTAAAAACAAGTTTTTTTTTTAAATCCCATCGATAAGCTGATCAGCTAATATTCCCTGTAAAATTCTGTTAGAACAAACAGCATAAATCATGGTTGAAAAGATCAAAGACTTTAAAACCAATTGTTTAAAGGGATAATAACTCTTCGTATGAGGTCTATATTTCACAATAAAAACATTGTGAATAACTTATAGAAATATTATGTATTCTGTTTTACGACAAAAACAGCAGTTATAGCTATTATTCTTATATCTAAGCTTGTCTTCAGACCACGTGACCTCCATTGATGGCTATACTCTGTTATAATCTCTTAAGAGATTTTAACAAAAAAAACAAACTTTTTAGAAAAAAAAGCAGGGACTAACTTTGAATGTAAAAATGGATTCATTAACCATTGGTAAGTATGGGAAAATTGTTGTTCACTCCAGGAAAATTCATTTTTTGGCCAAAACGAATAGTTATTATCCCTTTAATTGATGGAATTTTCAATTTTTTTATAAAATGAAATAAATGTAATTCAAACAGATATGTAATGTTGAGCAATTAGTATCATGATTCAAGCAAACTTGCTTAGATGAAATTAAAACAAGGCAGCAAAGCCGTCAAATGTACAGACAAAAAACAGAAAATAAAGATNCCCGCGATATGGGTAAATATTGCAAGGATGATTTGACACATGACATTTTACTTGGTCTTTGGGCCAGTGACCCCATCGATTCAATGGCCCTAGGTTGGTTTTCAGTGGCCCAGGGCCAGTGGGCCACCCTTAATGTCAAGCCCTGTAAAATGACTCACAAAGTAAAATTTAAGGCTCTCTGCCTACTTACCGGGTGGTCCTCTCCGACTCTCTCCCATGCAGCTTGTTCCATTTTCTGTGCCAGTTCTGGGTTTTTGTTTTTTAGTTCATTCATTGCAACCTTCACTTTACTCTGAGCTTCATTTAAGAGACATTCTAAGGTTGCCCATAGCTCATTAGGTTGAGACAAATCTAGGACCATAACCAATGCTGTGTTCCTAAGTAAAAACAAGTTTTTTTTTAATCCCATCGATAAGCTGATCAGCTAATATTCCCTGTAAAATTCTGTTAGAACAAACAGCATAAATCATGGTTGAAAAGATCCAAGACTTTAAAACCAATTGTTCAAAGGGATAATAACTCTTCGTATGAGGTCTATATTTCACAATAAAAACATTGTGAATAACTCATAGAAATATTATGTATTCTGTTTTATGACAAAAACAGCAGTTATAGCTATTATTCTTATATCTAAGCTTGTCTTCAGACCACGTGACTTCCATTGATGGCTATACTCTGTTATAATCTCTTAAGAGATTTTAACAAAAAATCAAACTTTTTAGAAAAAAACCAGGGACTAACTTTGAATGTAAAAATGGATTCATTAACCATTGGTAAGTATGGGAAAATTGTTGTTCACTCCAGGAAAATTCATTTTTTGGCCAAAACGAATAGTTATTATCCCTTTAATTGATGGAATTTTCAATTTTTTTATAAAATGAAAAAAATGTAATTCAAACAGATATGTAATGTTGAGCAATTAGTATCATGATTCAAGCAAACTTGCTTAGATGAAATTTAAAAAACTATATCACTTCCTTAATAAAGATTCTAATTCGCACAACTTACTTAAGGGTATCAGCACTGAGTGGAATGGCCATCAACTTAGAGAGCCAGGTTCCTCCCCCTAGTTCATATATGTGGGCCACATCCTTGGCCTTTCAAAAAAGAATAAGCATTTAATCACAAGTACTTGTGACTTTTTAACTGAGAATATCAAAATGTTAATCATATCACAATCTTGAAAATAACATATTTCATGCATAGAATAACATAAATGTACAGTATCAAAATGTGTTTTGGTGTATACTAGTACATCGTATTAGTGCTAATGACTTATTACCCACCAGATTAGATGCTCTTGCACGTCTTCCATATGTATACTCCAATGCAGTTGTGGGTTTAGGTGTCTCATCCCTATGAAAATAATGGGTATGGTTACATTCATGTGAGCTTCAATCTCAACAGTCATGTTTATGACCACTATTTTGTGTCATCTAAGATGAGATTACACAGTACATCTCAAAAAAATATAATTATGTAGCTTTAGTTTAAGGTAGGAAGTATTTAAATATTTGAAGCCAAATACTCCCATTTTCAATATAGTTCAACAGAATATTTTAAAAATCCTTTAGAAGAAATCAAAATCATTAATTTATTAAATCAAGACATGATCTTGAATTATAGCATCTTTTCATGGATAATTAAGTTTTGTTTTAAACAAGGTCTAATCAAAATTTCAAAATGGCATGACTTTAAATGACACCAATACATTGCGAAATTATTCTTTATTAAAAGGTGTCCTCTACACCTTTCAAAATTATTTTTCTTTCAGAAAATAACAAAAAAAAATTAATTATTATTATATTACCTGTCTAAAAAGCGAAGAATGATGGAGGTCTTGCCCTTCAAAGATAAAAATATATCTATATCTAAACTGGCAAAAAAATAGATGGTAAACTTGCAAATGCTATATACTGTACACTTATTGCAGCATGGGTAATTAATAAAACTGTTATGAAATATATGGATTAAACAAACATTGTCATTTAAGGGTAACTGTGACAACAACAAATACTGTAATTTTCCAATCATACTGAATTAGGTTTAATAGATAAGTTAATTTTTCTGGATAAAATAGGATTTTTTTTTCAATTTTTCAAATATTTCTGTTGTCAAATATATCAAACTTACTGAGTTCTTGCTCCCAATGACAAAAACTGCGGCCTCATCTTTTGGTTGCCTTTCATCTTCTGCAAAACCAATTTCCCTCTGTTCATTAAACTCACTTTTATGCATAACTTTTAAAACTCATGTCAATATCAATAAGAGGCTATCAGCCAATAATTGAAATAATAAAACAATTGATCCTAAGCCAAAATAAAGCATCACATATCTATAGGATGCAATGATTAAAAAAATCATTAATCACAACATCAAATATGTGAATTAAAATGCAATTTATAATTCTACAGGTAACAAGGTCTTAATCAGTTCATAGCACATTATGGATAAATAACAAATTTTAAAAGCAAAGGATAGGTTATCAATAAAAGTCTTAGGATAAATCTGAAAGGAAAAAGTATAAAATTTCTCATAATTACTTTCGATGCCATTTGCCTGATCTACTACCAGGTCCCATATACTCTTCTCTCTGAAACAACAAAGTATGTTCTTCTTTGGTCCTGTTCACAACCAAAGTTGATCTGCAGACTAACAGATCTGCAGATCAAAAATGGCTGACCCACTTGAAAGCTTGCGGCGTAATCTCCTCAGGGAATCTATTCAGTGTCTATTAGGAGATCAAACCACAAGCTTTCAAGTAGGTCGGTCATATTTGATCCGCAGATCCGTTAGTCCATGAACCAACCGCCTTTAATCACATGCAATGTTTTACAACAGTGAACAAATTTTCTGTTCCATGCAGTCAAACTTTCTTGTCAAAAGTTTCTTTAATAAAACACTTAATTTCAAATGCTAAAAAAGAAAGAGAAGAGGCCTTAGGCTCAGATGCACAAATGAAGTCCCACCGCACATGATTAGAGATATTTTGTACTCTACCTCACGCTCGGCTGTCACCTTGATTGGATAGTAAACAATTGTCGTAATATCACTAAATGATTTTAAAAACGGGTGCATAAACTTGGAAACCACCTAGAACAACCTTAGACTGCCACATTAATCCAAAACAATGCAAAAATAAACTATAACAAGTGGTTAAAGCCTTCAAGCCGAATGTCGTAAAGTCCCCATATACCTCCATAGAGACAATAAAATAGAGTAAGCTTGTGAAACAAGATTCCACAAATTTAAACATAATTATCAAAATAAAATACTGCCGGGCATCGGAGCGGCCTAAAACTTGGCACACTCACCGCAAATGCCGCAGGCTACATCATCCCGTCGCTCGTTTGTTAATTCCGTGCATGGCATACGCACAATCAAACCGTAAATCCAAATTCCCGCTTTGACGCTTGAGTCAGTCCTCTCCACAAACCGCAGGGTTAGCATTACAAATACCTGTCCAATGGCATGGCTTCTTTTTCGTAAGCTCGGTGTAATGGGAGGTTAGAGAGGACCGACTCAAGCGTCAAAGCGGGAATTTGGATTTACGGTTTGATTGTGCGTATGCCACGTGCGGTATTAACAAACGAGTGATGGGATGATGTAGCCTGCGGCATTTGCGGTAAGTGTGCCAAGTTTTAGGCCACTCCGATGCCCGGCAGAATTTTATTTCGATTATTATGTTTAAATTTGTGGAATCTTGTTTCACAAGCTTACTCTATTTTATTGTCTCTATGGAGGTTAATGGGGACTTTACAACATTTGGCTTGAAGGCTTTAACCACTTGTTATAGTTTATTTTTGCATTGTTTTGGATTAATGTGGCAGTCTAAGGTTGTTCTAACTTCTAGGTGGTTTCCAAGTTTATGCACCCGTTTTTAAAATCATTTAGTGATATTACGACAATCGTTTACTATCCAATCAAGGTGACAGCCGAGCGTGCTCTACCTCAAGATTTCCAACATTATCAATTTTAGACATTTTAAGTACCGGTGCGTCTAAGTTGAGCGAGGTCCAAGAACTTAAATGTCAACATTAATTACCGGGGGGTAGAAAAAAAAACTGCCAAAAACAATGAGTTAATGTAAATTGGTCAAATAAATGATAATTACCCTTTTGACATTTTTGTGTACTGTATGCAGTACGTCTTGTAAGCTTAGGCATTCATAACTCGCCAGTTAGTCGACTTGATTCAAATGCCGTCTGCTTCACCTTGTACGTTGTCAACGAAGCAAGCACCTGCGGTATTCACAGCTCCGCACTGAAAATTTACATCTCAATCTTTGGTTTAAACATCTGATATCCCAATGCAAAAGAAAAATGTCGATTTCCCGAAATTAATATAACGCTTTGTACAAAATGACACAGCTTATTGCAACATAAGATACCTTTGGTTATTAGATGTAGTTTATTATTTTCAAGTTAAAATTCACTGATTTGATCACTGGCTTATCCTGTACCAAATTACCAAATATCACATATTGGTACGTCATACTTTCCCAGTATCATGGCGAACGTTGAACAGTACTTGCTGGATGAGGGTTATGAGAAATTCAAAGAAGCGTACAGGCTTAGTGATATTGAGTCTAAGAATGACCCTGAAGAAGAGCCTTACAGATCAAAGTATAAGTCCAGAGAAATATTGAAGCAACTGCATGAAAAGATATCCGACTTACGTGGTAGGTTGATTTTGCCGGTGACAATTGAGGAGACTGAGAATTGAGAATAACTAGTACAACTGTACCAGTACATGCATGTGTAGCCACAAGCATGAATTGAAATCATATCATTTTTGGATAGGTGAAGTCCTAGTATCAACGTTTTTAAAATATTATTTAGTTAAAAATTCAAAAATAATCAAACAAAAAATTTATTATAAAGTGTTAAAGAATTTAAATTATAAATGTTCATATTTTATCATATTGTGTCATCTTTTTGCAGATGAAAATGAATCTAAGGATGACTTAGAGAAAACCAAAATCCGACTTGGTCTTCTTGAGTATCTGATTGGTGTCAATTACCTGGATACTGAAGAAATGTCATCTGGAGAAGAGCACATTAAGAAATGCATGGATCTCCTGGAGAGCCACAAACTGGACATTAAAGCATGTAACCTAGTACAGAATGCCTACAACCAGTTGGGTATCTTATGGACAACTCGCCGGCAACCAGACACAGCACTGTCATACCTCCAGAGATCAGAGGATTTATACAAACAGTTTAAGCAAGAGGTTGGAAATGCCCCATGGAAACTAAGTGAATTGTTTCAGCCTGAGAGAACCAAGGATGTTGAAAAGCTTGACAAGGAGAGAGAGGCAAACTTTGAAAGTACCTACACTCACACCTTGTACTATTTGGCTCAAGTATATGCCAAGGTCGACCAGACAGAGAAGGCTGCTGTATATTGTCATGACACACTGCGTCGCCAACTGGACACTGACCAGTTTGACCCCTTAGATTGGATGCTGAATGCTGCAACTTTGTCCCAATACTACATCACACAAGGGGAATTCCGCTATGCTCGACACTGTCTAGCTAGTGCAAACTTTATGTTAAGTGAAGTGATGTCAACTCCTCCTGAAGATGAAGCAGAGAGAGAGAAGGTGGACAAGGCAAAAGCAGACCTGGAAAGATGCTGGTCTAAGTACTGCCTTGCCCTTATGGAGCTTTCAAGAGAAAGACTGATGGATGAGGTCGGAGACATGGATGAAGAGCTTCGCAGGACACGAGTAGAAGAGGAGACAAAAGAGGAGACAGATGGCAAGAATGAAAGGGAGGAAATGAGGGGTAAAAAAGAAGGTAACACTGTAGGGACAGGGGATCATAATCAAGATCAGGCAGATGGTGCAACAAATCTTAATGGAAACGATATTGGAAATAAGGACAAAACTAAAATAGATTTGAAATTTAACTTAGAAGTAACAAAATATGAGGAACTAGTAACAGACCAGTACTTGTTGATATTCAGTGATGCAAGAGAAGTTTTCCTTAAAGCTCAAAGCTGGTTGAATTCTGCTAAAGAACTCTATTCTCTAGATGATTGGTGTTCTGATTATGTGGAGATCATCCAGGATCAGAGCAAGTTGTTCAAGGTGCTGGCTTTCTTTGAACCAGATTTTGAAAGGCAGTGCAAAATGCATAAACGGCGCATAGATATGCTGTCAGACGTACTTAAAGAACTTAACCCGCAGTTTTACCTGCTTGTCTGTCGCCAGCTAATGTATGAGCTCGCAGAAACCTACAGCTCAATGCTGGACCTAAAGCTAGCCATCATAGAGGCCAGTGGAGATCCACCAACCCAGCATGCTGTCAAAAAAGTGAACCAGTTGATCAGACAGAGCTTGGAGAAATACAATGCTTACATCGATTCCCTCAGGGACCCCAAGAAACAGTTGCCAGATAAATTTGCTGAAGATGATGTGCGCCCAGCCTTGATTGCCAAGTTTTGTACTGGAAGGCTGTATTCTAAATTGATTGATCCAGACCCTGTTGAAAGGCTAAGAAATATGAGTTCGAGTTTAGAATGTTACAAATTTATAGTTGATTACTGTAAAAGGAATCCTGAAGCAGTAGAGAAGGTGAAAAGTGAGCATGGTCTCTGTGTTGAAATGGCAACATTACTGCCTGCAAAGATGGAACGCTTAAGGGAATCCACTGCAGAACTATAAACCTTGAAATATCAATATACTTTATCAAATACATTTGCACTGGAATGTTTATGCTTCTCTGTTGTGACCAATGCATACTATGTGTGATGTTGTCATTCCTGTCAATAATGAGACAGCCTGAAGACTGAAAAACTACATGTTGAGGAGATTGTCATAATTGTGTTTCCATTTGTCCTATTTTCAGAAGATATTGCTGTTTGTAGCATTTTAAGGAAAGTTGAAAACAATCAAACATTGGAACAGTATCTTTTATTCATGAATGTTAAAAGTTAGAATCTAGTGAATAAATAAAATCACAAAAACAACATAGCATTCTTTCCCTTTTTAGCTTATGCATTTTAAAATATTAAAATATTTCATTTTCTTAACCTGCAAATACTATTTAAAATCAAATGAAAATAATGTAAAAATAACATATTTGAAAATTATGTTATAAATTTACAGCAATACTGGATAACTATTTTTACTCTTTTTTTTTTCTCAACTGGAAAATGTAAAATACTGAATAGTACAGTACAATGTTTATTTTTTACATAAATGGCATCTGTTACGATGATTTTCATTGAGCAACCATACAAAGGTGTGTACTTATGTTACACGTACATAAAAGAATGTTCATTATGCAAATTATATACAAATTCTTGAATGACAGGCTGGCTGTCTGAAGACTGGACGGAAGTACTTGTGTAAAAATAGTACAAATATAAGATTTTCACTAAAAATGGTGCTTTACAATAGTTACATAACACAAAAAAATGTCATCATGGACAAAAATATAATGGGTATACCCTGCCTCAACTACTGTATTACAGTAAAAGTTATATATACATTTCTGCCTGATTCAGAATTACTAACAACATCATTTATTTCACAATTTGCGAAACTCTTACATAACAGTCACTAATTAACATACATTTTACATAATATTCAATCATCATGAAAAAAAGATTCAGTTTAATACCACATCCTCAAATTGATATATTTGATTGGTAGTTAAACTACAACAACCCAATGACCTTTTTTTGGTTGACCTTAAAAAGATCAGATCTGGAGATAAGAAATCACCAATAAAGCAATTTTGCTTTGACTTTTAAATTGGTTCAACTAATATTGCTTTATCATGCCATTTGCCACACTCTGTCACCTATCAAAGGAACTTCCATTATGCTACAACCTTCTGTTGCTTTTACTCATCAATCTGAAATGAAATTATGAAAGAGTATGTGATAACTCTGTGACTACTCAGGAATGCCAGTTGCAAAAACATTAAAGTTAATGCAAATGGAAACTCCCTTAAAATTTCCTAAACAATCTAAAAACATCAAACCCAAATTTTGACAACAACAAGTACATTTACCATGCTATCCCAAATTTTGACAACAACAAGTACATTTACCGTGCTAAGCTTTCCCCATGGCTCATGTAATCCTGCTGTCCATACTGATATCCAAATGTCCCCCCATTCCTGGGCTGACCGGAGGTGGTGGACTGAGTGGAACCCATTGGATATGTAGAACTTGCTGTTCTTGAAGCTAAACTGATGGCAGATGGTGCTGTGGTAACTGGATTCTGTTGATTATTACGTCTTCGTACTACAATGTAATAATAGCAGGGGTTACTTTTGTACTGCAAGTTTTGCTATGGGTTGGGCTTTTCATGTAAGTAATCTATCACAATTATTATAATGAAGAGGGTGATTTTATTTAATGACCAGATCTTTTGACATTTAGTTTTTAGAATCTTTTGCCAAATTCACGGTTATTTTGTAAATGTAAGGGTATGGGTTACTTATTTTGTATACAAATGATATATGCCATAAGACCAACCATGATCATACTGACAGATAACACAGGACAAGGTTCACCTCTAGAATCATATGCAATAGGTTCATCTGAGTACTGTATTGTTCCACTCCAAGATGACCGGTCTGGAGAGGCAAGCTGGACATTGGTCACTTTGACAGGGATGCTGGTCTTATACTGACCAATGCCTGGAAGTGTTGCTTCTATTGTTGTGGTAATCTGTGGAGGCTGGTTAAAGATGGTGTTTGAATTAGTATAATAGTACTAAACTAGTATGCAAACAAATTGTCTCAAGAAGGTTGTTGGATACATTTGAAAGAAAAATATGGATTGCAGAAACAAAAAATAATTTAAAAGTAATATAAATATTAACAGACATTAACTATTAAAATATTACTATAAGAAAATGTATTTTCTAGAAAAAAAGGAACACGTTACAATAGGAAAATGCTTATCTATATCAGCAATTATTTAATATCCTGGCAAAAAAAAACTGACTAAATACCTGTTGGTCCATGAAGTAGAGTTCTGCTTTTGCTCTTTCTTCATCACTGACTGGAATGCCATCTATGATCATCAAGTTGGGCATCCTGAAAACCAACATTGGTCTGTGGATCAGCCGCCGTGCAACCTAGAATAAAAGAAATTGGATTAATCATTAATTTAATAAATCAACATGTAGATTACTGATCAGTATTTGAAATGGTTATTGCCTTGTTAGTTTAAGGCCAAAATATATGTGGAACTTTGTTATCATGATTATAATTAGGTTTGCTATCTCTTTACTGAAATATATTAATTTAAACAGAAAACCTTCCATCATGCACTTTACTTACGGCATTGCTGACAACTGATAATTCAATTAAGTTTGGTAGACACTCCATCTTTTCCAACTCTGAGATATCCTGAAATCAGCAAATATTACAAATTTTTCATGGTTATTACTTAAATTATGTATTCATAGCAATCATTAGTACTGGCATAACCAATAAAATATAATGAAATTTAAAATGTCCATTCAAAACACAGAATACCACACAAAAATCAAGTTCATGGCATATCCATATTCACAGGTATTTAGTCAGTTTTTTTTTTTCCAGGATATTAAGACAATCTAGACAATGATAAGTTTGAAATGTCCCACTCACTTGTATCCTGTTCATGCCCAGGTAGAGCCTTTGTAGGTTCTCCAGCACTGTCAGCCCATCTAACTCCTTCACTCTGTTTTCCTCCATGTGAAGCTCCTGAAGATTCCACTGATTCATGAAGGAGATCTCTGTGATGGACTTGATCTTGTTACGGTCCAGGACGAGTTCTCTCAGATCCTGCAGCCCTTCAAGACCTTCCACCTTGGTTATTTCATTGCCTGGGAGAAAATTGTATACTTAAAGTCAATAATGGTTATATTTTATAATATTCCACAACATTCATTCATTTCCTCTGTGAAGATTTGAATAAGATTTTAAAATACTTAAATAAAGGTTTTGGTTTCACTTGTAAGTGAAATTACTTCTTCTAAATTCTTTTACATAAAGTGTAAAAGAAGAAACCCATAAAACACCATAAGGTTAAAAAAAAGTAACATTTGTCTGTCAAATATGATTACAGCCAAATATTTAAATCATGCATTCCACAAGTGCTGTTCTCTTCTCACCCTGTAGAAACAATGCTTTCAACCCTGTCAGCCTGCTCACTTGTAGATCCATCATGCTCTTGATACCATTATACCTGAACAGATATGTGCAAACATATGTTTATTAACTCTTTATTCTCCAATAAAATTTAGAAAAAAATCTATTAAATAGAAATACTATCAAAACAAAGAATGCAGTTTTAAAAATCATGAATGGTACACAATAGCCAGCCTTTTTCAGTGAAAACTTACCCAAGATGCAGAACCTCTAAATTCTCCAGTATTGGAGTGTATGACTCAGGGTTGTACAGGTCTTGACTGGGGGCTGTGTTGTCCACACTGGAGTTTATAGTTGCTGCCACACGAGACTTGATAGAAGCCTGAGGTTTTGGACGTGGAACAATACATTCCACATGGTTGTGGTTGAGACAAAGCACCTGATTAAATGACATGAAAAAAAGAGAACTTATTGCAAACCGTATTTTGAGTTAGGCACAAAAACTATACTATACTACTTTGTCTTCCATTTAATCTCTGTTAGTGAATGATTAGTATTTTTCTTGTGAGTTAAGTGTAGACTGAACTGTTTAAACAACATTAGATTCATACTCTTCTACTCCTATCAATCTATCTATCTGGTCAAGAATGCTTGTAACTACTGTCATAATACTCTTACCCTCAGGTTCACCAGGTATATCAATCCACTGAATGAAGATAGGTTATTATGCTCCAAATTAACACTGAAATGAAAGGACATTAGAATTTACTTTTATTACACAACTTTATCATTAACGCCTTCTTATAACTTTATTTGAAACTGAACTCTAATAAACGATTTTCACACAAACAATTTAATGATAGTTTATAAAATTTCTACAGGAAAAAAATAAGAGAGAACAGGTCTTACAGACATTGTAATATTGCTCTTCTTCATCATGATCAGCAAGCATGGAGGAAAGCACATGCAAACAGACATCTAAGAAGTTTCTTTTGTAAACAATTAAAAGCATTTCAGATTGCCAGTCCATCCCATACAATTCATCCAATATTTCAACAGTTACGAACCTCCTCAAGTTGTGGAAATACTGCCCATTGCCAAGATCTACTGTCCTCACAGAAGCATTCGGAAAGTCCAATTCTCTCACTTCATTGAAGTTACTGTGTCCAACTTTTTCTGCCACAAAGTCCAGTGTAAGTCTTCCTCCATACAAATCCTTGGCCTGGGATGCCTCTGAAGCTTCCTGGCCAGAAAAAAATCAATAACTAATATGTAAGAAAATGTACAGTGAAAAGTTCTATCTGCTGCAAATATATAGCATTTCCATACATTTTAAAGGCATTCTAACATATCTATATATCATCCACACATATCTTAGAAAAGGGATTAGTTCAGATATCTGGTGACCATGCTTTTAACTGGTAGGTAGGATATACTTAATATCCTTACTAACAGTTGAAATCTATACTGAAAATGTTTTTCATCAGCAGAAAAAGACGAGAAATAAAATTAAACTTGTTATTTTATAATGCTTTACATTATGTTATGTCATATCATAATCACATCATATTACATATTAGCAGTATTTTGAGTCACTTACAATAGCTAATCCATCCAAGGCTTTCAGTGGCTTCAGGTGGTAGATCACAAACAACCTGTAGTTATCAGTTTCGCTCACCACAGGGTTTCCATACATCTCCAGGATCAAGAAATTTGAAAGATTCTGAAAAAGAAAAAGATGATGTATTGCAAACATGGATACAGCTTTAGCCATGACATGAAGCAATGCCATCTTTTGTTGCATTTTCAACTTTACATCGTCTTACAAACAAATTATATATACTCAGTCACTTGTATTTAACACAGTTTTTGGCAAGACAATTGACAATTGCATCACACATAAAAAGTCCCCTCATTACTCTCGTATTAAATCAGCTTATTACACAGATTAGGAGACACCTGATCCCTCACCTTCAAATAAAATATATCCCTGATGTTACTGATGAGGTTATTGCCCACATACAGTTCCATTAGACCAGTAATCCTCTGCACACCAACCAGTGATGTCAGCCTGTTGTTCTCCACTGAGAGATGCACCAGCTCATTCATCTTATCCAAGCCTACATTGTCCAGTGTGGTGATATAGTTATGCCCTAGCAACAGTTTCTGAAGTTTGGTAAGCTTGGCAAGTCCTTCAATTTTTGTGAGACAGTTGTTTTCCAAGCATAGTTCTTCAAGGTTGGTGCAGCTGTCCAACCCCTGTAATCAGAAATATGAGACTCATTGTGATAACTATGTATTGACCACATGTGACAAACCAATTTACTACTGTTTACCAGAACTCCCTGCAGTGTTGGTCTTATTTCAAACCATCAATCTCCAACATATTCTTGTGTGTCGTGGCATTGAAGAGGCTATTAACATACATTTATCCATAATTTCAAACCCAGAGTGTAATACTCTGTACAGGTAAGGCACTACCACTTCTGCACTGGTGTTACACCAAATTAATTCATCCTATTTAACACCTTGATGTCCAATGCCACTCACCTCAATCCTGGTCAGGTCATTATCATTGAATGAAGCCCACTTGAGGTTCTCCAGTCTCTCCAGGTTGGACAGTTTACTGATGTGCTGACCATCCAGATTCAAAGATGTCACCTTGAAAAGAAAGAAATAAGGAACAGAATCAGGACCAGCATTTTCATATGATACCAGGAGAATGTCGACTTTTAAAATGATTTAAATCAAATTTTAATGTGTCCAAATTTTGACATATTTCACTTTTTATTTAATTTCAGAATGGGCTTAAACTGCAATTTGTGTGGATCATTTAATAAACAAACACTGGGGGGGTTCTTAATCATATCATATTCTGTTAAAGGAACGTCATCAATGTAATCCACCTCTTTTCCACTTTCAGCAACATATTATTCTATCAAAATGTTAAGAAATGTTATATATATATTCATCATTTACCTTAGCATACCACTCATTGTCCTGCTCCCCAAGTCTGTCAGGCTTGAAGCGGCTGAACTGGCTTAGCACCAGAGAACACGGGGACAGGTTCAGGCTCCTGGGGCGCACTGTGTCAGTTCTAAACGAGCAGGGACAGGTTAGAATATATTTTTGTGCCAGTGTAATTTACTTCACAATATTCACAGCTATTGACTGTCCATGGTTCACTGTCTATAATGAAGTCACCTCTTGTTAACATTTTTACATGTTGAGCATATCATTCCTAAAATGGCATTATGTTGTCTGAATTTTGTTTTGGCTAAAATCATTGTAAATCTTTTACATTACAGTAAAATGTCAAGTTAATTCTTATCTTTTAGTTTTACTTAAACAGTTCTTACCTGGAATGTGTCAGCAAAGACACCTGTGATATTCTGGAACCTGCTGCCATTCTCAAAGCTGCTGTGGCTTCAGATTCTGTCACAGGAATACCATCTAGTACAGTCAGGGCCTTTAACCGGCCTATAGCCCTCAGTCTGAGACCATCAGGCTGAAGTTGATAGTTGGAATTATCAGGAGAAATAATGCTTTATCAAGACACTAACAATGCATATTATAGTAAAACAAAATAGGGATTTGCAATTAACATACATTTTACCAAAATAAGTCATTATGACTCCTATGTTCAAATGAATATAATGACCAAATGAAAAAAATCTTACCAGTTAACCCCACACATGTACCCTTAAATATATTACTTATAAATAGAGACTCACCAATTAAAATTATCATGTCACAATTACGACCCAATTTTATTCAAATGGTTACAATAAATATTCACTGAATATATATAAACCAGTTCCCACCTTTTGCCACTGATTATGCCTAATGTCCAGCTGAGCCAGACTTGGACAGTGTTTCCTTATTATGGCCAGCTCTTCTCTGGTACTGAACAGATGATTCCAGCTTAGGTCCAAGAATTTCAATTTGCTCATGTTCTACAAATAAATAAAGATTTGCAATATATGTATACAGGTTACCATTAACTCTATAAATAAGATGTGATAAACACAACAATGATGAAACAAAACTGCAAATGTGTAAAGAATTTATATACAAATGAAAACCATATTATAATTGCTTTCTTTAAAAAATCAACTGAAACACAGTATTGATGAAGAAAATACATTCGAAATTAACACACTAAAATGCAGTAATCTTGTACATATTTAAGAACTTGACATTGTTTGTTTCAAAAAGTTATTTACTATTAAACTGAGCTAAAGACATTTTGGACCATTAACCATTTACCTTCATTCCCTCCAATGTAGCAATCTTGTTGAAGCTGGCATCAACATATTCAAGAGGCTAGGGAAATAAAGATGTTTTGGAAGAGTCAATATCAAACACATTATTATCTCTAGGCAGCAAGAAATAAGAAGTAAGGTAGTAGTTTTCAAGAACTGTGTGTGGGCTTTGGAAAAATGTGAATACTAAATACATAAAAGTTTTAACCTTCCCTATACTGACAAAAATGTTACTGTATGGCCAAATGGCTACTGTAATATCCAATGGTCATTCATAACCTCAAATGACTACATACACACCCTAACATTGTAATTCTGGTCTCACATGACCAATTGGTCAGCTCACTAACACGGCCATAACGACATGTACTCAGGCAGTAACACTTTATATGAGTCAAACTTCATGCATCACAAAAAAATATATATATCCAGAATACTCACAAGATGAGCAATGTCGTCAAGTTTGGTGAGCTCGTTGAAGGACACAATGAGTTTCTTTAAGTTTGGCACATTGTTCAGATTGCGAAGGCGGTTCAGGCCATTGCCATGGAGATTAAGCTCTGTCACATTGATAAGATTATCACAGTTGGCAACTTTCAGCACCAGTTCATCAGTTATTGTTATGAACCTAGAAGTTGTATCAAACTTTTTAAAAATCTTCTGTAAAATGATCAATAGGAGGAAGGGAAAATATATCCAAAACACTTAATAGCTAATTTGTGTGCCAATTTTGATTTTCTTAATTTCATCATAAATATCTTCCAAAATTATGATACATACCATGAAAGATAAAATTCCCATGATAAACAGATTTATTAAAACCCATGTTAATATGAGACTTTTAGGTTTATCATATCATTGCACACAACATTTTACCTTGGTCTTGGTTTAATGATTGGTTCCATCATGAGCACATCTGCATCCACATTAGAATCCCCAGCTTCTGTGGCTTTGCTTCCTAATTCTCCAACATCTACACAGGCAAATGGATGTGTGGGCTTCACCTGAGAGTGAAGATAAAAAAATTAAAGGACACATAAAAGGCATATTGAAATCATTTTGCCATAAATAAGGTCTCTGATAATTTTACTTAACAATGTTTATATGTTTCCTTTAAAAAAATCTGTACCACATACATTTGTTGAGAAACACTTATTGATCATTTACCAATTAATTGCATTTACTTCTGCTGCAAAGATAGACAATTTTATTTCGTATTCACAAGTATCTCTACAAAAACAAATTGCCCTTGAAACTTTTTCATCCAATATTTTGCTCTCTTACCCTTGTGATATATTCAAAGTCAATCACGTATTCTGGCACCACTAGTTCATGGTCAAATATAAACCATTCACACTGCCTGGTACTACATTCACAAGCCTGTCCATGGAGTGCTTCTGACTTAGGAGTGCCTTTGCCTGCATGAAATATTACAAATGCAATTTTGTTTTGACCAACACCCCATTTCCATAGATTTTTAGATCGATCTATCCCTGTGGGGAGTCTCACTAGATTACTGTCAGCTTGGCCGGCTTAAGCGTCTGTCCCACCTACTAAAAGCTGTAAGGGGGTAATTAACTATGGTGCCCGGCTGACTGCAATTTAGCGTGAACCCCCAGGGAGTTAGGTCGATCTAAAACTTAATCTGGGAAAGCACCCCAAGATTAATGTAAATACTCTGTAAAACTGTGAATGTCAAGTTAATTCTTAACTGTTAATTTTACTAAGAGAGATTCAACTGGCTATTTGGAATGTGTTCAGCAAAGACACTTTTTTCTATTTAGCATTTAGAATTAACAAGGATATTGAGAAAATGCTTCATATTCTTTATCATTTTCTAAAAATCATTAAGTTTAACATGCATCCACTAGTGACTTTGTGCAATGTAATTCAATATGCTAAGCACTCCAATCTTTCAATCAACAGAACATGAATAACAGGTCATTACATTTGCATAGCGAACAATATGTTAAAAAATCAAAATCTAATAGAAATAGAAACGTTCACCCGTCTGTCAAGAAACAAAAAAATTTCAGTGTTAATGCAATACTCATACGCTTTCCCTTATTCTCAATCTTTCACTGCTGAAGCCTTTAATGGCATTTCTGATATCTACACTACACAAGTTATGCACTTTTTGTTTCACCTCCATTACCTGAAATTTTCCTGGGTTTGAAAACGGAATCAACTTTGGGATAATGGCCTCTTTGGATCCTGTTGTAACAGAAAACAAAGCTCTGAGGTAAATCAATTCAACAGAGAACAGCAGTTGTATAAACACATAATATCACAGATTCATCACATTCTTTATCAATACTTTAATTAAACAATATGCCTTTAGGAGGCTTGATATCTGGTTTTTCTGACATAATCCTTATTTTGACATTTTTTAAAACTGATTCAACCATGTACTTATAAACATATACTGCAGCATACAACGAAAAGAATATTATCAAAATTTGTATCACAGTCTTACTACTAACTAACACCCAATATGCTGCTTGCTAAATCAATACAGGAATGGCACAAAACTGAGCATAGCCATAAAACTGAGTAGTCTTAGCCTTACTTAGTATCCAGAGCCTGGGAGTTCCTGCCTAAATATACTTTGCACACCACAACATGTCCTGAATAAGATTAAGGAGTTTTTAGCTAAAGGAAATATTACTTTAGACAGGCATTAAATTTATATAAAAATAATCCTTAAATTCTTTATAAATATATACAGGTTTACATTAACTTTAAACTGTCAAGTTTTAAAATACTTTAATCCAGGTATTAGAATATGTCCTAGCATGACAAATTATAATCTGATTATACATTAGAAATACATTAGATGAAATGGAACAAATAGGATGGAATGCAATGTCAAATCCTTTTATAAATGCGTACCATGTCTGAATGGACATGGTTCCTTATATGGCTTGGACCTAGCTGCTTTCTTCAGGTGGTCAATTCTTAACCTGTCTGCAAGGCTCAAACTGTTGGTCAGGGGTACAGCTGCATCTTTACCAAGTTGCTGAACAGATATAGAATAAAAGACAATATTGTTATAAAATTGTTCATTTCTGTTTTATACCTTAGCTCATTGCATTAAGTTTAAGTAAATGAAGCGATGTTAAAACTCTTATGCAAAAAAAAAAAAAAAAAAAAAAAAAAAAAAACTTGTCTTAATTGGAATACTGAGTGTCACATACTTTTTAAGACATATCTTCATACCATAAATTACAAAATGCCAACAAAACACACTAAGAACACAATCCTTACTCTATTTATATCAAACATTATATTCATCAAAACCATTTGTATTTAGTAACTTGTTATTCACCCTATAAGTATCAGAATCCAAGAAGCCTTCCTCCAGCACTCTGGCAGGCTCACTGGTTCCTCCTGGAAGCTCAGGGTCCCACACCCAGAACAAGTACTCTATCAGCTTCTTGTGGGAGCCACTCCTTCAAGAGGAACAATAAAATCATTACTTAAATTACTTAATACAAACATATATGAAAGACCCCACTTTCTTTCTCATCATCTTTAGAATAAGTGCTGGCAGCTCAAATTATCTTCTAAGAACTAATATATATATATGCCCAATGTCTTTATCGCCATCTATACTATGCAAAAAAGTATATGCTGTAGTAAATGATAAAACATACTTGGTTTTGAAATAAAAAATCACAAAAACAATTAACAAACTTTACAGAGCAGTTACCTTGTAGAAGGAAGATAACTGTCATCATCATCTAACAAGGTGCTCAGTTTGTCATCAAACCGTGTCCTGAGTATTCTGTTGTGTACCCTGGTAATCCTGTGTATCATGATGCCCTGAATGCCAAACTCCCTGTAGTCTACTGCACAAAACCTGGACAGGATCAGATCATGGCAAGAGGTGAACCTGAAGAAAAAATACCTGATGCCATAATAAAAGTGGCAAAGACATGGCACTTCATATCAAACTTCCAAGGCAATTTCTTTAACTGTCATTTTGTCTAAACCTCAGACAATGAAATATGATCCTGCAAAAACTGAACTTCACATTTTATACTTAAACCTTATAATTATGCTGGTAAATGTAATATGACATAATACACTGGTGTACAATGAAACCATTACTTAGGCAATGAATTGATTAACTAATAAAATACACCTGTCAAGTAGGATTTCAGAAAACAATGACCCTACATAAGGTTTAAAACATGCTACCAAAAATATGTTAACTTGGAGCTCTCAATTCAAATATCCTCTACTACTTTAAACTTCCAACTTGTAATACAAAAACATAATCTATCTTTGCCAATCACTCACCAATATACTTACCAAACATCAGTTGGTTTCCCATCTTCATATCGGACATTTCCACCTGTTTCCAGCTCAGTAATCAACCTGGTCACCTCCGTGTCTCCTGCTTGACGCGTTTTTGTGATAGCTTCATTGTAGTGGAAATCAATCCTACAAACAAAAGTTGTTCTATCATTATAATCATAATCTTTGTGATTTCCTTCTTAATTATGACTTTTTCAGCATACTGACTTTATGTTTTGACTATGAGTAACTGTTGTGATTATCTTGCTTTTGTATCTTATCTGGTTCCAGCATGACATAGACAAAACCATGCCATGAATGCTATTCCATCTTTCATCAAAATAACAAATACCTCCCTTTTGATATAAGTGATTATATGAGTGTATTTTTTATATAAAGAAATTGTCTTCAGACTCACTCATCACATTTTTCCTCCCAGTGGTTCATTCTGTGTCTTAAGGCTTCTTGCTTGTGGTCTAATTTGGCACTTATAGTTTGTTCCATTTCAACCTTTGTTGTCAAAAAAATTAAATGTATATAATAAGTCACTCAAATCATTCACAAATAATCTATTTTCAATTACGCAAGTTCAGTCAAACATCATGTGTTTTTTAAACTAAATGATGTCCTGAAATAAAGTTGGACATTCTCATCCACTTCTTTCTAACAACATTAAATATATACTGACAAGGGCAACTTAAAATCTGAGAAAGTAGGTCACATATTTCAATATGAAATACCTCCATTGCTCTGGCATCTTTATCACTTTCTGTCCCACTTTCATGGCCATCTTCAATGTGGCCTGACCTTTGCTTCATGTCTACCAGCTCACGATCAATCTGAAGCAAACAGATACATTAAAACTTAACAGGTTGACCTCAAGTACTATGTAATGTATTCAGGTGTCAGCAAAATGGTTTTTAAGCATATAATACCAGACAAAATTTATATATAGTCAACAATAATCACTAATCCTTTAAAACTCATTTCTCACTGCATTAAAAAGTTATGATTATTTGTATTTATTTTAAAGTGTTCACAAATACAAGAAGTCATATTCACCTCCTTGATGCTAAACCACAAAGCTTTGATCCGTTCATGTGGATGTTTATAATACACTTCATCCCGGGTTTTCTTAAGTGTCAGTAGCTGATCTGCCTGCTTCCTTCTTACTGTCTTCATTCTCATGGTGTAATACATCTTCTTCTTTGTCACTGTTCCCTATTGTACCAAATAATTATAATCTCAAGGTAACAACACCACTGTCTCTTTGGAATTGAATGAATATCATGTTTAAGTACATTCCAGCATGCCAAACAGTATTGTATAACAAATGTGATAAGTATAAAACATTTGTGGTACAGTTTAAATCAAAATATATATCTTGTAATAAAATTAGTGTTACAAAAAACCATGGCCATTTCATTAATGGACAAACGTCAACAAAAAGAAAATAAAGTCACAAAAACTAAGCTTAAATACTAAACATTCTTTTTAAAACCACTCAAAATTACCTCTGCTGCTGCCTTAAGCTGCTTACTGGACACATCATAGGTGTCCAATCTCAGTAACCCTGGCAGGTGATATAACACATGGGTGGAGTAGTTACACAGCAAGGCCACTGGACAGGGGGCAAAGTTTGGGTCTTTGAGACCCAGGTGTGTTAATTTAGGAAGGCGAACAAGGGACGTGATATCCTGGAAAGATAACAAGCAATTTATGGCAAAGTTACTGACATGATACTTGGATTTAATTAAAGTATAACAGATGAATACCAAAACATCTTGGATTAATCTATTCACAAAGACCAACAGTCACACTACTTGCCATAGTGGTCACAACTGTAACTTCAGCTGAGAGTGTGAAAACTGTGTAAGCAATAAATATCCAGTGTAATCAAAAGTAAAACTTCCTAGATACTTAAAACTTATCATAAGATGTCATTCTTAATTCAAATATCCACATCAAAATCCTTTAACTTTGATATAAATGGTACCTACTTTAAAGGAATACAGCTTGTTTCCTGAGAGATTGAGGTTCTCCAGATTCACAAGATTATCTAAGGAATGGCCTGTAGAATAGATAGGAGTAGATAACATACATTCACCATTTACATTATGTTACACTATTGAAATAAATGTCACTTCATATGTAGGACCTCTCATCTGATGGATGGCATTCAAAGAAATGCCTTATCAAACCAACTAACATGTAGTTACAAGATTTTAGGAAGTACACTGAATAGTATTTTATTTCAAAATCAAATTATATGCAGAAACATTACCTAGTTTTTGAATTTGGTTTTCTGCCAGGTTGACTTCTATTAGTTTCTTCAGATTTGTCAAACCCTGGAAATAAAAACAACACATCAAAAATATTGCCTTACAATTTGAACTTTCCTTTTGTTTCTTTTATCTACTTGTACTGCAACTGCACCATGACCATCACAGCTTCTGTTACTTAAACTGTAAAACTGTTCATACAATGAGATTACAATCAAATAAAACCATAAATATGGAAAGTATACACATAGAATTCCAATATGATTATACACCCCTTACATCTATGTTCTTTATGTTGTTGCCATTCAGCCAAATAACCTCCAATTGTGTAAGACGATCAAGATTTTCAATCTTCTCTATTTGATTGGCATATAAATAGAGTTTTTGCAACTGCTTCATGTCACCCAAACCCTCTATTTTCTGTAACAAAAAAATAAAAACAATATGAACAAATAATAGCATGAGAAAAATTAATATGAACGGTAATTTTTTACCATAAAATAACATATGATAGACAAACTAATTCCATTTGTTTTTCATGGCAGAAATTTGTATGTACTCATATCACTTTCACAAAACATTAGTTCACATTTAGCAAATTTGTTCCATAAGAAATACCAAAATTTTTCAAGGTTAGAAAATGGTCTGAAAAAAGAGTAAGCTACAAATGAAACACTGTAACAAAAACTATATTATCTGACGATTAACTTTACCTTTAGCTCACATTCAGCAATCCACAGTTCCTTTAGCTTTGTGAGACGCATGACCCCATCAATCCTCTGTATTGACTGCCCAATAATACATAAACACTGCAAATTGGGAAAATTATGCATCCCAATGATTCTGGGATATCCTGAGAAAAACATCTCAATAAGCTGTACTGATGGTCCCTCTTGTGCTGCATTATTGATGCCATTGTTTGTACACTGTATAAAAGACAGATATTGAATTAGTAGAGTGAAGACATTACATCTGTTCCATACAAGTTTATGCAATAATTATACCATGTGCATTTATCAAGCTGAACATCACCAACCTATATCTTCTATGTTTATTTCTATGATATTGACAGCTTACTGAATATGAAAATATCTAAAAACAATACACTTGTACAAGGTACAGATATACTGAACTATTATGAATTGCTTCCATAATTTTTTCTTTATTTCTTTTAATTTAACATGACATTCTTTTACATGCTCATACACACACACAAACACACACACAAACACAGAGATGAATATCTGTGTGTAAATCTGAGCCTGACTTGATGAAATGTCTCCACTTCTTACCAATTCAAGAAACAACTCTCTGTCTTCCTCCTCTCTGGTCTTGGTTTTCTTTGTTGTTTCAGACATATTTCAGTCTTCTCTCTTAAAAAATTTAAAATAAATTAATATGTTATAGTATGAAATATATATTCTTAACTTTCAATCAAGCCATACAGTTAACATTGACTTGTAAAATTTGCCAACAGTATATTCCTTACCAATATCATGGCTTGTTCACAGACTTAAAGAGGCAGAGAGTGTAAAATTTCTTGCCTACATATGAAAGCTTCACACTACTTAGCATATGCTGAAAGATGCTGAAGCTGTTGAGTGATTTTGTTTAGTATACATTTGGATGGGAAATACCGTAAAAGTGGAAATCCATACACACCAAAATTATACAGCAGCAAACATTACATTCCAAGTAAGTCCTGTGTGTTAGAGTCTGAGTTTAATTTTTGTAGAGTACAACGTTTAATGCAGTGTAAATATAACACTGGTAGCACTGACAGTGACATACTAAAAAGTTGCAGCAAAACCCAAAACATAAATACGATATAAGACCATGTCTGCACTAAACGTGTCAGAATAAAAAGATACTCACAAATATGTTTCCACTTATTCACTTGGCTCCTACCACCCATTTTCATGTCGAACGCCTCACTCAAACGCTTGCTAAGCTATTAAAATCACAGTGTTACTACCTTGAAATTCCCTCAGATAGAATCCGCCATATTGAAGCTAATGCTGGGTATGTGATTGGCCGAATCAGAGCACATGACCGTTTCTAAGCATGAAAGGCTAATACCGTTTCGATTATTCATATTTTATTTCCAAGTTGCAGCAGAAACGATTTACCTTATTTATATCTTTATCTAAATATGATTCATCCTTAATTTGAACTGCTATGATATGAGCATATTGCTACTGCTGTGAAGATAAGTAAACACCTGTGTATGCGCCATCTGACGGCGTGTTCGACCATTATTATGTTACTTTTTTTTTTATAGATTACTAATGCTCACCATACCACTGACATAATTTAATATTGAAAGACCATGTAGTAAAATCCTATCAAACCAAATTTATGCTTTTATTAAGATCTTTTATATTTCACATTCAATCATTTTCCTTGTGGATTGGTAGCTGCTTTTTTTTTTTTTTTTTCTTTTTCTCTATATTTTTTCTTTATTTTATTTTATTTTATTTTATTTTATTTATTTATTTATTTATTTATTTATTTATTTATTTATTTATTTTTTTCCCTAAAAAGTCGTTAGCCATAATAAATGATATAAAAATTTCGCAACAGAAATTGTGGTACAGTCAACTGTGCTAGAGCAACTTTAAGTGGATGGCACGGCACACCTAACGCATTTTACTGATTGCTAGTTGTTTTACAAACGTCATAAGAGCATCGAGCATCTGTTTGAGGTTAATTGTTGTGAATTGGACGAATGTATATTAACCTAAAGGAAGAAGGATTTACAGCACAGGTTTTTTTAGTTATTTTTAACATTGTGGCGATCACGAGACTCATGAAAATTAATACTAATGCGTTTGAACTGTATTTTTGTGCTTCATTTCTACACCTGCCATGCGCTCTGTCAGTTCAACGACTTTCAAAGTAAATTTATGATATTTCTACAGACATTAAGAAAAAGAACGACTTATATTACAATATTTGGACTGTTTAAATCCTTAAATGATAATATCAATATTACCTTTTTATTTCAGAATAAAAGGGCTTCATATATCAAAATAAATTCTTATTGCAACCAAACTTTGTCTAATGACAACAGGTCTACAAATTGACGTGGGCCTAACTTTACCAGTCATTTTTAAAAGTATTTACGTCAAATGCATATTTGTGAATATAAAAGCTTTGTACTAACACATGGGGGTATCGAGGTTGTAGATGTCAACATCCCCAGGAAGGTAGGCCTACACGTGTTGATGAAGTACATATGATGTACGCTATAAAACCTTTAGGCTTTCGTAGGAATGCGTAATTTCATTCTGAGTCAATGGTTACATAAATGTTGCTTTAATTACAAAGAGAAAATGTTAATGGGTGGTTAAATAAAACTTGCGTCAACACGAGAAACTGCATACTTGAAACAAATTTACCGTTATTTATTTATGCAAGCTGCACCTGTAGAGGGTTTAAAGAGTGTCACCTTATTTTGTCCAAATAGTACCTTTGTTAGGCTATTAGCTTGAGAGAGGGATATCGAATTGTTTTCTTTATCCAACTATTTTATTTGAAGGCGACATTGAATTTCCATTTGTTAAGCGTTATCATTGGGAAATCTGCGCTACAAAGCTGAATCCACAACCCAGTTGACCTTGTGCTATAAGCACGGCCACACGCTACCCGGCAACAATCGCTCACGTCTTGCTCGTTGCGTATTGCTGTACAACGCTAATCATTGGTCCTGTATTGTGTGCGTGTATTTATGTTAATATATTTTTCCTGGCCAAGAAGTTAATGCCACTACGTCCCAGCACTAATTAGGTAAGTGAATTTTTTCATAAATGTCACGTTAATTGAATCTCTATCATCATTTGCACGATGAGTTATTGAGGGAAGGGATTTGGAACTGCTCCTTAACAGGAAAGAAGCGTTTGTCAGTGTTAAACATTAACGAATATGCATCACTTTCTTCCTTAAAAGGTAACCTTTTGTCTTAAAGGAAAAATATAACATGTTTTTGGTATGTTTTTGGTATGTTTTTCACTGTTATCGACAGTAAGCCTACTGTTGCTTTTTTTAACACCTAAAATTCCTGCCAGAAAGGCCCGTTGTCTCTTTTATGTACTAGGATCGATAGAATTTTCCAAGATCATGGCTACTTAGTTATGACCATATGTTTTAATTACTTTTCGTCGTCTCATACCGAAAGGAGAAGAAATGTGAAGAGATAAATGGGTCTCATGGGTATAGGATACCAGATATGTAACGTATCTCAAGCCGAATTTTTTACAATTCAAATGGCTTCTGTAAGGTTTTGTCGGTTTCACTTTTGTTAACACCTCCTTAACGGAATTTTGTAATAATAATAATAATAATATATGATTTTACATGTAACTTCTATTACTTACACGTAAAGTACGAATGCATTGTTCCAATCACATGGGCACATGATCAGATACCGAACGTGGGAAAAGTTTCACTTTTACAACAAACCAAACACATCTTCGATAAGATTATACCTATAAAAGATAGTGCGATAAGTTCGACGCGTCAAGTAAAATCGTATTAATGTACTTGCGCTTGCAATGTACTGAGCAAACAAAACATTGCAATGATAGCAGCAACGTTTTCTTTGTATCTTACATCACTGTTTCCTGTAAGTATCGTACAAGTAACGTTTATTGATTCCAAGGTAAACATATAATCGTAATGGCCGCCACGAAGGTAGGAATGAGTCTTTGAAATGCATGGTATTACGTGTAAAATGTTTGATGAAAATATTAGTATTTCCGCAGCCTGTAAGTCATTTACGAAATTTGACAGTCACGCACCGTGATCGACTTATTGTTATCAGAGGCAATGTAGCATACTTGCTTTTATAACATTAACGAGCGTTGCCATAACAACGGATTTGTTAGAAAACTCCGCGATTTAACATGATACTTGCACATCATTCGTGTCATTGGATGTGCACATCGATCATGTTTTAAAATTATGCTTCTGTCAAACCTGGGTTCATTGATATACTGTTATTGCTAGTTACCAAGGTAACAGAGCATACGAATCATTCAAAGTCATCGAGTCACAAGAAAAACATTTAAGCCATTATTCTGATTAATGAGTTTCAATCTGCTACATGGTAAATGGAGCTTTTGTCAAGAAAAAAGGGATCACATAAAACGGAATCCCTAATCACTGAAGGCAATATATCTAAAGGTGTTAATGGGGTTTCCAGAGCCGCCATTTCAAAACATTCCAAACTTGAAAAATGTTTGCACTGAGAATAGTTTGCGATTGATTAATAACTGCACAGGAAATAGTCCTTGGATTTCATTTTTTGGGATAATTAAATTCCATAAAAGCAATATGCACTTTTAACCATGTCTATTTTCATTGGGATATATTTTAAGTTTGTTTTCCTGTCACCATATTTAGCTTTGAAAAACAACGAAGACAAAGAACGTATACTGTGGCAATTCTACCTCAATAGTGTCGTGGTTGCTTATTTACTAGGGATAATATTTGCGTTTACAGTTAATTTGAGCCACTAAACACAACGTTAAGATTTCAAAGAGGTGCGCTTTCCTTGTACACTACGAGTAGAATCTGCAATGTGACAATCTGATTTGTCAATTTTTAGAATAATGCAGTCACCACTGCATACAGAATATTGCATCCGAAACTCTAGAAAAAGACAGGAAAAACACAAAAGATTTTAGTAATGAATGGATATTCCTTATGACCAGTGCGGGTGGTGGAGGATACTGGACTGTCCACTCCACTTATGTAGCAACGTTAAAGACTCAGTGGAATTTAGTCATCAGGAAAGTGTGTCTATGCCAAACATTAGTACACTAAAACCTATATACAATATTCCTGGCCGCCCTCTTTGCATATCAAAAGCAAGCGCTCTGCCTAGAAACGTTCGGTTGGCTGAAAGGTAAGACTAGATGAATGTATAGTTTTAATTATATCATTTTCTATAAAGACAAGCCTGATTTATTTTCATCCCAAGTGAACAGGTTACTAATCTCAAAATATATTGGAAAAATAAAGAATGAGTATTCTTTATTATTTATCTTTGTTTGTTTCGCACTGATAGATTTTGAAAAACGTCAAATGCCACGCTATCTGTTAAATTTCCTGTAAGGTTCTGTGCAAGAAAAAATTCGTTTGCAAGTTTTGTAAGCCTGGCGAATTGCCTTTTTTTTTTTTTTTTTTTTTTTTTGAAGTTATGAAACGGGTTACTAAAATCAATCAAAACAGGAAAAGACGTCACATTGAAATTGTCATTGAATAGCAGTGCTTTATGGATTCTAGAGTGTTTTACCGTTTTTAACTATAAGGCACAGTTAAGCTGATCGTTAAGTGCTCCCTAGAGATTGGTGCAAAAGTGCGCGCCCGGATGTAGAGATAAAGCTTTTGTATGTTGGCGGTAACAACGTAAAAAGCTCCAATCAATTTTATTATTTGAACTTTCTAGCTCTTCGCAATTTGATATTTTTCTGTGTCGTGTTTGTTTCCATTTCTTCCCTAGCTCCAAAACTGTATGTTTCGAGTTCTAGCTTCCTTTTCGCTCCTGACTCATGAAAAGGACAAATTTTTATTTGATGAGAGCAAAAGGTAGACTACGGCGTTGAAAACAGGCAAAACAAACAGAATTAATCTTTGTTGTCCAAAACTATCGAAATAAGCTCTAGATATACACTATAACAATGACATTCGTCTATATAACGAGGCCTCTGGTTTAAGATCAGTACTACTTCACACAGGAGACGTAGGCATGTTTCTACTTACACAGCTTGTTTTAAGCTTTAACAAAACGCTTCCTGTGTTGACCATATCCCCATGATATGACGAGGAGGTCCACCATATGGCTGTATTACGCACACGCACAATGTAGGCAAAAAGTATGATCTGGCTTCCGTTAAAATTGTTCTTTGTTGCGGCTTCTGTATTGTATATAATGTGATTATCTCTTCATGGCAGTACTCCAACACGAACACACAGGTGGACAGTACTCTACATGTTAGTTGTGATTAGTAACTAAGACCACATTAACAGAATGGCACTAAGTTCAACAATCTACATGATATAAGAGCGTTCGTCACAAAAAGGGGGAGGGCTGTTTTAGATTTCCAAATGTGTAAGCGGACAATATTTGTCTATTCTTTACAGAAGCGTTCAAAGTCCTATTTAAGAAATGATAAACCTTTAAAAAGGCATGCTATCCATAATTATCTACTGAAAAATATGCACGCATCCATATAAGCCTACAAACATGACTAAATCAATAATTTATCACCTAGATTTGCAAAATTTCCAAGATAACTGGGACTTTTAATATTTGCACAGAGCAGCCAGTTTTGTTTGTCGAATACACGCAACAGCAAGCTATTCCAGTGGGTATTGTCCTATGCTGTTCGCTTTAAAACGGATAACTAAATTCATGCACGACACAATAGTCTAGTTGTGTTTGCGAATGGAATATGTTTGTGGGTTGCCGTATCATTTCTCTGATATGGGAGGTATTGACGCGTAATGTAGATGGATTATCAAACAAAATATCCTGAAAACAAAGATAAGACGACTTAGTTGGCTCGCGATGTGAATATTAATACTTTGATGTCAAAAGCATTTGAAATGCCACACCAGTAGTGCGATTTTTAAATGATATCGTTTTGCCGTTTCCCAAATGACTAGGAACTTCTCACAAAATTTCTAAAAATATTATGGAATAAACAAGATATTTTTTTTTATTTTCAACCATATGTGTTTTTTTTTTTTTTTTTTTTTTTTTTTTGTGATCTTTTAAAGCGTTGATTTTATTGTATGTAGATATTGAGGCTTAATCTAAAAGAAAAAAGTATTCAGTAATAATTAGAATAAATTTTACGAAGTGATGCTCTCCAATTTTTTTCCCTTCAAAGTGTATCTTTAAAGGTGAAAACGCTGTATGGGAATACTATTTTGAACTAATCAGAAAATGAGCGATTGCTTCTTATCCGACAGTATCTCCCCAAGTCGCGTGAATGATTAATGCAACTCAGTTATGTATCTGATTACTTGACGATGACTAAAGTACCAGTTTTTTCTGTACATTTACGTTAGTCAAGCCTTTCCTTTTGTCACCGCAAAAAATTAACACGGTTCGTTGACGCAAAAACAAACATCTCCACTAGAATATTGTCATAACAGTGAGGAAAAACAGTTTGTGGAAGTTCCGTGCGTTACGTATATACGTTGACATGCATATTGACAATTCTCTTGAGCAAATAGAGACCTTAAGAAGTAATCCCCTCAACTAATATCCACGCCAGGCCTTCAATCGATCCGTTCTAATGTACATTGATCAATGCGACTCGAGTCCCCAATAAATACAGCCATGTGGCAATTATCGTTGCAGATCCCCGTTGGTGACAGGACGAGGAAAAGGTAATTTTTCCTTATGAAAATATGAACCAAGATTGAAACGCATCCATGGTGCTTCCTGGTCAGGTCTCCCGAAAGCAAGCGACCGAAGCGTCCACGCCGACAGACCCCTTGGTCATAGGGAGGGACAGCGCACGGAAAGGACAGTTCACATTCAGCATGAGCCAAAGCATTTCCCCCACCCTCTCTGTCAAGTCTTCGGGACAGGGTCCACACAACTACGACAAATACGCCCGTCAGGCTTGCCAGAAACGGCCTACGGCTGACGTGGAACAATTCTTATGTTTTGTTAGAGACTGTCAAAGTTTACCGGCACGGGAGAAGACAGACTTAGCGCTAAAAAAGAAGCCGCTTCTTCCGGGAATTGGAGAAACGAATCCAGAGGCAAATCATCCCAGTTCTCATGCAATTTTTCCTACAAACAATGATGACATTGACGAGGAGATGGAATTATACTTAAACAATAATGTGCGTAAAAGAACACCTAGTCCGTTACTGGGGAACGTCAGTCCGCGATCAACACAGACATTGGAGCCAATTTCGCCTAATAGACTCTCAAGATCACGATCTCTAAAGGATAAAAACAATCTTAACGGAAATAGTAAGAAAGGGCTGACTAGGACAAGATCCGATCCCGTTCGACGAGCAACAGCCCTCACACACCATCTACCGCCGCTGGAACATCAGAATGTTCCCGATAGGCCCTCAGCACCTCCGCCAAGTGTCACTCCTCCATGTCCTACGGACTCTGATGAAGATGACGGTGACTCGGCTGGTGATTGTTGTGAATCCCCAGTGGATTTCATAGACCCACAGTAACAAAAGAGGTCGAATTATCTAAGTGTATTTTTACATTGTATGTCAAGTAATTATTTTGGTTCAACAATGTAGCAAATATGAGTCGTTTAGTTGTGTTTTTTCTCTATAATTTTGGTATTAATATATCAGTATATGTGCTAAACTTTAAATTTAAGAAACTGTGTACAGTATTTGTTATTTAAGGAATGGGTTAAGTTAAATTGCATAGCAAATTTTATAGATAAACGATAAAATGTGACTTTTATATGTTGTTATAGTGTATATGTCAGTCTTATTTCTAGCCTGTCCAATTTTGAGACTCAGTCGAAAATTTTGTCATATAAATAAGTAGAGGAGGTCTCCTAATTGATCCTCTCAGTTTGGCAAAACGACTTACAACGATGCACAAGGATGATTAAAGACCGTTAATTGCTTATTTCTATTTGGTAATTAATTGAATTAACTTATATTGTTGGTGTGCAAGAATTATGAAACGTCACACAAGATGTACGTGATTTACCACATTCTTCCACATCATCTGTCTCCAATAATTTGTAGTCGTGGTTGGTTGGAGGATCGACTGTAAAAACACCACTTTGGCTACAGTCTATTGAATAATCAACACTTACCCCCCACCCCACCATGGGGCAATTGGGTTCGTTGGTGATTTGCGATACTGACACACAGTGTAAAAAGTTGTCTTTTAGATGTGTATGGGGTATTTATGGGATACTGTTAAAAGGGTAGTCAGTTTTAATGGCAACATGATATATTATATGAAATAGTGATGACACCCTTAAGGCAAAAAAATCAAAGACACTATTGTTGCAATGACTTTGGGTCACATCACTGATATGCCACTTTTATTTGTAGCATGTGTGGTAACAATTCTGGCAAATAATCAAAAGATTTTAAGGTTACAACCACCCCGAGAGAAAGTAGCTTTAGGAAGTATAATGACTTGAAAGATCTATAGACATGAAAATATACAACAGAAGTCTTGAATCACTAAAATACGGAAGGTCATGTTCTAGAATGTGGAGAAGTCAAGCTGCCAGCATTGGATTTTCAAAAAATTGAATTAATCTGATAGATTAATGATGGACGATTGAAACACGTTAAACAATTTCTACAATAGAAATCATAATAGTCCAGAGACCAGTTTTACCTCCAGGCATATGACTTCATTGACCAAGCTTTCATGCCCTGCCCAGGCACTATTTTAATATCATTAAAAATTCATACTTGTTCGGTATACGATAATGATTTTATACCGCTAATTCAAAATGGTGCTAAATACTGCAATTAGTACATGTGCTATACTTTTATTTGTCTTCAAAATAATCCAATTAATTATTCATAGCAATTAAATATCACGTTTTTAAGTCATGTGTGAGTTTGTTGAATTTATTCTATTTATTTAGCATCCTGCATTTGGATGTCCACTACTTTAGCCAATACGGATTTCACGTAGCATCTGTTGATTTCTTAGTAAATCAATCAGGCTTTTCATAGGGAGAACAATTGCTATTGGCACCCTCCGAGTTAACGATAAATAATAATTAAATGATGAGCGTTTTTTCCTTATTCTTATCATTGCGGTTAATTGTGCAAGTGTCAGTTCTCTAACGATTGAAGTCTGTTTGCTTTACCACGTCTGTATTTGAATTGGACGCTACAAAAGCAACAACGTGTCAAAACAGTAATTCAAGTATTAGCAACTCTCATACCTAAACCAGATGGTTTAAAATGAAAGAGGAAATTATCTCGAGCGTCATTGATGTAAGCAATGAAAGTTCTTGGATTAAAACATTGAGAACACCATCTGGAAACCCCAAATTCCAATTAATTATAATAAGTCAAATAAAAATTTCTCATAACACATTAAAATAATGCTTTAAAATGTAACATGATACTAATAGACCGAGATAGTTATCACTCTGAGTTTCGCTGACATTTATTATCAGCATTAAAGAGCGTATGCTGATAGAGTTCTGTTATAGTCAGTGATCTGACGCACAGGGTTGATGTGTCCAATGCTACTTAATTAATAGATTTATGGTTATTTAACTTTTTATGACAAGGGTTTTCATAATGAATTAATTGAAAAAACGAGAACATTAGTAGTTGATTGCCATTTAGTCATCTTCATAGCGAAAAAAAACATAGCGAAAAGGCGAGTTTGAAAATATTTAAAACTTAAAGTATTTATTAACTTCTAGCATATGGTCGATTTACTTTTAAATTTGCCTTAATGCTATGTTAGCATGTCCTTGTCAAGGACGTATAAAAATCAATCTGACAAGCAAAAAAAAATCTTACTGGGACTTATGTAAAAACAGTGAAATGTTTTTAGACTTATGTAAGAAAAAAACTATCGTTATACAACACACAAGATAAAACAAGACGCAGGCAGCAAATCGATATCTAAAATACAAGTTTCACGGTTGACGGACAAGATCGATCATGCTGACAGGCTGTCATTCTGCCGTTCATCTAAGACTGATCAATTCCGCTTAACCCGGGTCAGGCTGGTTACGCATGAAATTAGGATAATGTCTGTGTTTACATGTCCTCAGAAACCTGATGACAATAACATATCATAATTATACCATATTTTTATTCAACAAATATTGTCGATATTATTTTCATAAAATAGCTTCACCTTTGCGATCATTACGTTTATAGAATCTTTGCCATTTTGAATGGCAGAGTGCAATGGACCAACTTTAAGCAATCAAAGAAGCTGATTTTATGATGCTTACCAAGCATGATAGACGGTGTTGAATAGCCTACAGACGAAAATCTAGTCTAGAATAGCGGGGACGCCCTTGTAAGTTGAATAATTTTTTCCCGAAATTATATCTAATGTTGTAAATTGATAGTTTTAAAAACCGAATGAAGGAAAACACTAAGCCGAAACGTTGGAGAGAGGTGGAGACATAGGGCCTATATGAAGCCGTTTTTTAACACAGAAAAATTCCCTTGCAATGACTGATTAAAAAAAATCAAAGTACCATCTTGCCTCCTAGTCCGACAGAATCGGGCAAATGTTTATCCGTATTAAACCTGTTATCCGCCTTGCTAAGAGCCTCATGTTAAAAGAAAGGCTCTGAGGCAGTTTAATCTAAAAGAGAAAATTATCGATCACTTGAAAGGGCTCTCGGGGTTTTCCTGATCAAAAATATCGACAGTTTTCGTTAAAAACAAGTTAAGGTGCAACTATCCGGTTTGGCATTCATCATTCCCTTCTTATTAATTGAAATTGAAATGTCTTTATGTCTTAATTTTTTTTTTTGTATTTCGCAAGACAACATGTTGTCGAATGTTTCTAATGCGTGTCCGCTTTCGACTACGAAATGTAATCTGTGTGACAACATGCGATCGTTCATGTGAACTTTTCCCCCGGGTTATTTACCCCATTTATCCACCCGAATTCTAAATACATAACTCCAGGCAGAATGAAATCAATTTCATTTGAAACAATGCCATTTCTTTATCTAACAGTTATTGATATACTCTCAAGGGCCATTGTTTTCTTGTTTATTAACATGCGTTGTAAACTTGACCACTATTCCATGTGATCAGTCGCTGCAATTCTTATCAGACGACAATGGGAATCTTAAATGTTAACCTGTAGTGTGTGTGTGTGTGTGTGTGCACGCGCGCAAGCACGTGTGTGCGTGCATCCCCCCGCGCACGCATTTGTGTGAGAGAGAGATAAAAGAGAAAGTGTTTGCGTGTTCCCATACAGAAGTGTCTATATCTATATACATCTACTGGAAGACCTGCAGCGTTCAAGTGGTCTCTCTTTCTAATGCCAGTTGGCAACGAAATATCGAAGAAAAAGAACCAAGTCCCTGTTTTGTTCATCGCCTCCGTTGAGGCGGTGGCTATTAGGCGGGGTGAAAGACCTGTCGGACCGGTCAATAGATCAGCGATTGTTATAGCCTCCGGTAATAGCTGAAAACCAGTAAAGTAATCGGATGAAATTAATAACTCTCATTTTCACACGTATAAAATCGATAGACGGAACAAAAATACACGATTCAAATGTTTAATAGAAATAAAGTAGTCGCCAGAGTCATTAGGAATTAATGGAACTTAAACAAAATGAGAGGTAGAAAATTATTATTCTTGCGCATCGCAATGAAAAATCTATAGATCTGCTTCTACGTAAGATTTCGGAAAATAGCTGCTCTGCGTCCAAATTTAGGTCCAGTGACGTCTTTTAAGTCAAACACGTACCTACCTGTACTCAGTATTGTACTCAATGAAGTCGTTGAGTTAATTAACGGAGAGTGATTAAATATGCAAATCACTTCAATAATGTTTATTCTTTTGGAAGAACAGGTAATATTCGATGCATAGCTGTGGTTAATACTGCTTAGCCGGCGCCTAGCTTTGAGGGTCTACTTCAAAACGATCATTTAATATTTAATCACACATGATTGTTTGCGTGGAAGTTAATTAAGTCGCGATAGCACATTATTAGCGATGTAAATCTTATGATCTGTATTGGCTCTTTCTCCCAAAACAACCCCAGCACAAATACGAACCAGTACAATGAAAAAGCCGTATTGTAGCCGACTTAGTTATTCAAGTAAATTTTGAGAGAAGCATTTCATACATCACTGAGTCTATGAAACTCTACATAATAACATATGTAAATGATACTAAATGTACCTTGGGCGCGTGCACGCTCAAACTGCTGTATGCGTTTAGAATGGTTTGGCTTCAACACTGTCTTAAGTCTCAGTAGTATTACTTGTAAATGACATCAACTTATCTCTCCTCATAGTCATATACACCAAAGCCTTTGTGAAATTAATTGATAAAAGAGAAAAATGTCAAAAATAGGGTCGGCTGTTTAATGAAAATATTCCTTTTTTAATAGATATTATTTCTTTAACAAGTAAAGCAAAAACTTATTTGTCAAATACACGGCTTAAATGGTATTTTAAAATAACAAAAGTAAAAAATCGTACATTCAAGATAATCAACAGAGAATGCCACTGCGCGTGCGTGTGCGCGTGTACCCCCTAGTGCCCCTCCCCTCTTCAAAATATTATTAAATGATATTTTACAAGGAAAAATAATTAAGACCATCTGTTTCTTTAAGAACTATATTTTTCTTTCTTAATATACAGTTTGCAATGTATAAAATGTACAGCACCGATAAAATGCTCCTTTACTATATAGTTGATCCTTACAAAGGACAAAGTACGCCATACATACAAAAAAAAAAGAAAAATAAGGAAAAAGGCAGTGCTTGTGGCACTTGTCGTAGTAATAAATTGAACAAATCACAGACAGTACGTTTACAACGCTATCAAATTACATTCCATTACTAATCGGTCACAAATTTCCTTCACTTGAAATGATTATCATGAAGCACAGGCTTATCAAAATTGTCTTACAGTATGTATATACCTGTAGATAGTTTTTATATGAGAAATAATAACTTAACTCAAAAGTTTAAACAGGGTCAGTGATTGTCGAATATGTAAATTACGATTGTAAAAAATATATCAGACCGAAATTCTTTTCGGTTGTTTCATGTTCCTGTACGTTGCCGTGGCAGCTTACCGAGATAAATCTGTCCCAGCTCACTTATGTTGCATATTGTAACCACAATGAATTAACAAAGGATGATTTAAGCAAATATAGGACAAAAAGGAACAGAAAATGAAAACTGGTCCGAACAAACAACACTTGTCAATATAGCCTTTGCTTCATTCAAGCCAGGATCAATTTTGTTTCTATTCTGTCTTGTTCGGCAAATATAGCAAAGTATGTGTACAGTAATTTATGAGTAGCGTCAATCGTTTGCAGCTTATCAGGTTTTACAAAATAAATACTCGTGCTAAGAAAAGGCATTTCAATTTATAGTTAAAGTACTTAAGAGAACATTTAACACGGATTAATTTCGTAATATAATATAAAAACAGCTTATTATATCGATAAAGAGTGCACCATTAAAATTCCTTTGGCAAGTCGATCCTAGGAGTGGCAGTTGCAGTAGTTTTAAACAATGAAATCACATAAAAGCAAATACCGTTTGTAAACATTAAAGGTACAATACTAATTGTTTTCCCATTGGCCTATGCTTTTGACACTTTGTCAAAACAAAAGCAAATATATCATATTTGCAGGAAAATTTTCAGATTGAAGAGTGAAACGTGAAGCTAAGGCACATCAATAGAATAACTGTGATGACGTAGTTCGCTACCTTAAGATATAGATACATGTACGCTTGAAGGCATTACAAGAGTTACTGTACATATAATGCTCATCTATACTCTAAAGGTATATCACAACTGTATCGTGTACGTTTTTTGCTTTTTTTTTCAAATAAAAATCTAGCACATGCCCTAACCAACGAGAGATTCTGCAAAACTGGCCCCAGTAGGTCCTCCAATCAGAGAGGTAGCTGCTGGAACGTTTTTCTTGATCACTTTAGAGTGTTCAAGAGGGGGGAGCTTGAGCACCTTAATGGGGCGACCCCTCCCCCTAAGTCCACTCAAGTCGGAGAGTCCTTGGGATTTTCGCATTGCCCCCGCGTTGGAATTAGAGAAGCGTTCAGAAGCAAACTTGGTGTATATGTTTGGATCAATGATGACATCGTCCATCGCTGGGACTGTTCGGACCCCTATAGCACTCTGTGTGTCGTCCAGAGAGATGTATCTCCTCACTGCTGGATGACCTCTTCTGTCTGTTTTGCGGTGATGTGGAGTCCACTTTATAACGCGGTGGAGGTTGGAATCCTCTGCGGTTCTCGTCCGCATTACTCGTTCCCTGAGAGGGTGCTGGGACTCCCTCTCTGGGGCAACAGGAGAGAATTCCGTTGGGATAGTTTGAGACTGGTACGTAATATTGCCCGTAGAAACATTATTGTCACTTGAATATAGAGAAGCCTCAGAATCGCCTGAGCTTGTACTCTGGAGAGAGCCGATGGTGGTAACTCCATCGAGTGACAAAGATTGAAGCTGATTTGTGATTTCCTTTGGTTCAACAGCTTCACTTTCTTCTATAGAGTTCCCTTCTTGCCAAGTCAGTTTTCTTGTCGGTGGGATTCTTTCTATGGGAGATGACGGTCGGGCTGGCGCCACCATCTCGGGACTTTCCCGTCCGTCTGGTGAATACCGAACTTCGCTACTGTTCTTGGCACGGAGTTCTGCCGACCTGTTAAACGTGGTGGAGGGGGCGCGGGGGGCGATGGGTTCTGCGGTGGGCACCACCACCGGCTGTCTTCTGGGGCCCATGGCGGATTTCGGGCGGATGCTGATTTTACTAAGCACCTTCTTTTCAGATTGGCGAGGTGTTTCTTCGGCAATTTCAGCTGACTGGATCGCCGTTGTTTGTGTATCCATGGTTCCATTATTTTCAAATTCAACAGATTTCATACGATATCTCCTGCGTCTAACATTGGCGGTGGACAGTGCAGTACGCACCCTGCCGTCCTGTTTGTCATCAGGGTTGTCCATCGATGTTTTCGACCGTCTATGTAGGTGTTGCGGCGGTCTTTCTGGAAGGATGTCCGTGCTACGACGAAGCTCATACAACCTCCTCGGACAGAGATTGGTGTCTGTTGACGAGATATTCACATCATTGTCTTTATCGCCTTCACTGTCACTATTCAAAGCAAACTCCTGGAAGCGTTTGTTCAGAGTTTCTTGATCTTGTAAAAATCGCATCAACAGGTCCCTTTTAGACTTTTTGAAGGTGTCATTCATCTCTGACAAGACGACTTCAGCTCCATCTTGTTCGTCTGACAGCGACTTAGAGTTAGACGCACTTCCCTGATCCAAGCCGCTGTCGTTACTACTGTTACTTGAGCTGTCACTCATATTTAAAATGAAAAGTTACTCTCACGGTGGCGAATATTAACTAATAGTTTTACCATTCGGAGGTCTGACTGTGATATTAACCTTATCGTGCTCCTAAGCGTTGCCTGGCGAAGATTCTATGATGGTATGTTATGCAAATTTGTCAACGTCAAACAACCGCTCGGGTATATTGCTTTTAAATTGACGTCCTCCACAGTTTCGTTTCCGTAGAATATAGTTCTCCAACTCTGCGTCTAATATTGCTTTTCTTATGTCAGGATTCTAAAATCGTGAGATTTACGTGAAACACGATCTGTTTGAAGTTTCCTCGAGTTGCTAATGAAATATCCGTCTAAAAAAATAGACTATACCTTTTTACATTATAGTTGACTTCAAGGTTATACGTGTCCTAGTTAAAACAGTTGCTGTCATTGTCCTAAACTTTGATGACAGTGGAAGACATTTAGATAAACATATTGCTGTCCACTGACTACACGTCTCCTCAGCACTGTAACCACTCTTTGGAATGTGCGAGTCCTAGTTATCAAAACCTAACTCTAACCTTCAGTAGACCTAACATAAGCAAGCGGGCCACAGCAATGCAAACACAACCATTGATTAAGCTGGAGTTCGAATAATGGGCGCCCTTGACAACACCAAAACACAAAACGCGCGTTAGCTATCGCTCATTTAGCATGAACGGGGCCATTGAATTTCAGTAAGACGGCTTCAAATTCCGTTTAATCTACCGTCAGGGTGAAATGAAAGGAGGAAATGAATAACCTGAGAATTTTTCCAAGGGGAGCTTGCTTAGATTAAAAACATATTCTTCGTGGCAGGTTGTGTATCAAATTATTGTATGGATCAAGTTCCATATATAGGCCCAATGGCAATCACAAACTGATCAATAACCTAAGGAAAACATGGTACAAAATCGCGGAGAGAAGGGAAAAGTCAAAACGATTGATTTGTGAGAATAAAAACGTATAGAATCAATTAATTCGCTATTATGAATGACCAAACGCGTTTCGTGAAAGGCGAAGTTAACTGTAGCAAGGTCTAGAGAAAGAAGGGTTGACGGGGATATATTTTCATAACCGACCAAGGGCCCTCTATGTTCGTGGGAGAATTATTGGACAAAAAGAAACCCTGCCAAAATTAAATAATGGCGCTTTAATAAAATGTGGATAAACAAGTGACCACTCTGTCAATAAAGATAGAATATAAACACGAGGTTGTCACTTGTTTATAGCCAAATCACTCTTTTCTAACGCACAAACGTTTGAATAGAATTGCAAATTTGCTAAAAATGTTAAAACACGATCATTATGAAAAGCGACTTATGAATTCGCCCCAACCAACACAGTAAATAGTTACTCCTACAACACGGTAAAATGTGTGTATGAAAATTTACGAACGACTATCCAGTAACACGCAAGATATCCTTTCAATTAAGCATAACTCGAAGAAAAGTGATAATAATGACAAATATCGCTCTTAAGTAAAAATTCTACCAACGGTTAATAGGCTCACTTTATTTTACATCCTAGCGTCGGTTTACATATTCAATACACGTCATAAGTCGCGCTTCCCATTCATAATGAAAAACTTTTAAAATACTTTGTTGCCAATATGGAAAATATTCAGGCTTTGAAAAAAAATATTGACGATTAACAAAGAATAACATAATAATATTTTTTTTCAGGCAAAAATCCTACCGTTTAGGAAACGTACTTTAAAAATGTGAATAAATGTCGAAAAACCCTTAATTAAGAAATTTTCACAATTTTATTGACAAATTAGTTTGTTTTGCATTTTAACTGCATCACCTTAACTCAACTGTTAAATACTCTAGTAAACTACGACCAAAAACGCACCACCCTGGCCAGGGTCGATCTTACAACTTTTGGTCTGACGTTTTCACATTAAGTCCAGTGTAAGTAAAATATTTATTAATTCATTCGTTTTTTCATAGATGACCTTTTATTTAGTAGATATTGAGAAAATGCCATGGTCACATAGGCTTAATCTCTTGAACGCTTCCTCAGCATCAAATATCCTAAACAGCAGTTAGTATATCCAATAACATTAAAATATATAAACATTTCCTAGAGCATAAAATATGCATCATCAATAATATTTTTAGCCATAACGTTTGTGGTAAAAACCTAACAGGAGGGTATTAATCATCCTGGCTGTAATGACGATTTGCAGTACATACGTTCTTACTTAAAGAAAAATAACTGACACCAATATTTTTCTTAAAGAGTATTACTACTATATAGATTTATGGCCCCTGTATTATAACATCATCTCAGTCTTGTGGACCTAATCAAACATTTCATATTTTTTGTGTGGAGTAGTGATTTTTTACTTAATTCTAGCTAAAACAGCTGATCTCTTCTCAGTGTTCTGAAACAGTGCTCTAACCAACTGCTTGACCTCATTGGCACTGAAGTCACTGCTCAGAGGCCCCTTGCCATCTGCCCAGCGGTCAGAAATCTCCTGAAGTCCAGCATTCAGTAGCACCAAGAGTTCCTTGTACTTGGTCCACTTAGCAACATTCTTGTGGACTTCGGCCAGTGCCTGAGCTTTGTCCTGTCCATGAAGAAACAGCTCTGGGCCACGTTCTGGCAATATACCCAGAAGACTGCTGAGCTGCGTGGCGTCATCTGCAGAGATGTCTTCTAGTAAAGTTACACAGCTTATGAGCTCTGTTACTACAGAGTTCAACAGAGTTCCTGTGGGAATAAAAAGTTTTAAAACACAAACATTTCACAGAATTTATTTTTTATTACCCATTAAACCTTTCCCCAAACAAATTTGTAAACATCTCTAAGTAACACAATGATATGTGAAGGATCTACATCTTTTTGAATCAAAGTGCTGTCAACTTTCAGATGGCAAGGCACTTACAAAATAAAGGGAGATAAAAAAAAAAAAAAAAAAAAAAAAAAAAAAAAAAAAAAAAAAAAAAAAAAAAAAAAAAAAAAAAACTTCCAAAGTCATTGGATAAAAAGTTATGAGTCCATCACTGATATGAAACACACTTACCCATGGCTTTGTTAAATGTGCTGACAGGTAAGACATCCAGCCACACTCTCCTCAGGAGCATCAACTGGTGTAAAACTTGCTTCAAGGCTCTCTCACCATCTGTGAAATTCTTATCTTCAGATACACCAACAAAACCTTCAAAATAAATAAATAAATAAATAAATAAATAAATAAATAAATAATAATAATAATAATAACATCATGCCAAAATTGCATTGTTTATGTAGCATGTAACAGGAAAATAACACTAGGAGATGAACAAAAAAGTTTTCAACTAGGTGAAATAAAATTCAATGCACATATATAAATAATCATAATAAGATGAAAATGTATAACTTTGGATCAAATATAAAATTCCCATCACTGGAGAGAAAAGTATTCTACCATAAAAAACATGAACTAATTACCACAGACATAAATATTTTTCCATCATAACTACCCCCCCCCCCCCACCTCCTCAGCAACATACCCCTAGCTCCCTTCAAATATTCCAACAGCTGGAGTCTCTGAGTCTTCATCTGTGCCAAGAAGCACTCAGTGCCAAGTCTTCTCAGCTTTGGCACAAAATCTACAAAGGTGGCAAGGCCCTGGTTGAGTGGATCAGCCAAGCGGTCTCTGAACTGGTGCCCCAACGTGATCAAGTGGTGAGCAATGTACATACAGTTGTTGTGGTGAAGGGCTGAAACAGATACAGAAGCATTACTGTAGTACAAGTTCTGAGTTTGAAATCAATTTTATATATAAATAAAAAAACTTGACCTTTTCTTGTCATTTCTATTGCATTAAATGGTTGATAACACATTTATTGCCTCATATAAATTGAGGCATCTTAAATTACTGACTAATTTTGCAAACAAATTGCCATATAATCAGTAATCTCTAGTAAATAAAGACTTTTTATAAGATGGAATTGGTTTTTATAACTAAAAACGGACACATAAAAAGGTCAAAAACAAATATACTATAGAGAGAAATTATTAAACCCAAAATCATAAGATATTTTGCTATCAAATAGTTCTACTTACCTGTTTCTTAAGTTACCAATTTATCTGACTGCATATTAAGCACAAACATTTATACAATTCAAAACCATATTAAATGAAGTACGGTAGCATTAAAGCAATCACCTGTGAGTTGAGGCAGTGTTGCCAGACTATCCTTGTGGTAGGTAGGCACTACACTGCAGTAGAGCTCAAACATACTGTGAACACAGTAGAACAGTTGAATACAGCACTGGGGAGAACTGGTACAGGCTTCCTGTAATGTCTCATATGCCATCCCCATCAACTGCTTCACTGAAACACTGCAAAATAAAAATGTATCAAAATGTAAAAGTTGACAATTTGAAGAGATTCTGCAGGGACATCGTTCACTGTATTATGCCGTGAAACAGCAATATGAAAATCTACTGAAGAAACCTTCATGTGATGAATCCAAGTGGAGAAAGACAGAAGTTAAACCAGTGTTATTTCTTATATATTACGTAGGGTTATTAGTAGAGTAACTAATACCGATTAGGCACAGCAAGTAGTGGGTAGTTTTATGAAATAAATGGCTCACTAGTATTTACCTAATCTGACATGGAGGCAGTTGGAAGGTGTTAGCACTAAGCAGGTTATGGGCAGCCATTCCATCTTCACTATTTATCTGTCCTTGTTGGGGTGTTGTTATTCCTTGATGTTCTGGTTTAGGTGTGCTTTCATCCTCACTTGGGACCTTAAGTTAACATCAGATAACATTTTCTTGGTTTTAGAATAATCTGTCTGCAAAGTCAAACTGCAAAAACAAATATCCCCCCCCCCCCACCCCCAATAAAAAAAATCTGAATTTACTTTCAAATTTTTAACAAACCTGATAAAGAAATTTCTTTAACTTCTAAAATCACACTTTCTGAAAATTGATTTCAGAATACATAAAATTTTTGGTACTTAATCTAAATCTAATAATCAGCAAAAGACCACAAAAATCCATTAACAATATATTAAAGAAACAACATTTTAATATCAGTGAACACTTTGGATTAACATGTCCAACTATGAATCCCAGTAAATCAATTTTATACTCACATGTATGGCATTGTGAATGTCGGAGGTCATCAGTTTTCTCGCTCTCTCCAAAATTTCTTGGCACTTCTTATTAGCAAAAAGCACATTGATGTTCTTCACATAGTCCAGCAGCTTGGAATTATTTGTAGTGATAAAAGCACACTTAACGAGCATTTTGTGAAAACCTTCTGTGGCAGAAATGACTCCTTTATATTTGTCCAAGTCTTTATTACTGGTGGGGATTGAGTGTGACAGACATTCTTTGACAATATGATCCAGTATGTCATCTGCTATGTACTGTCCCAAGTCTTCTGCAACCAGTCTTTTGTTCTGTTTTTCTGCTGACTGAACCTGGATCTGGACCCCTAGCAAATTTTCATTCAAAAACTTGAAGACTGTTTCCAGCTTGTCATAGGCCTCATTGGGCGTGGCAACATGTCTGTCCCCTGAACCAGAGCCCACCATTCTGTTAACTTGTAAGAATTTAAAAGAACTGTGCTTCTGTATGTGAACCTCAGTTCTTGCATCTTCAACAATGGGCTTGACGATAAGGCTCATGCATTTTTGTCCGAAGGGTTTCAGTTTTGTTTCCAAAACATGCAGCTCGTGCATTGCCTGTATAACTTCTTTCATTACAGACGAACTTACTTCTGCTTGACTGAACCTTAGCTCAACCATGGACATTTGACCAGCTTTGACATCCTGACTCTGTGGAACTACCCACACAACATGCTTTGACCAGGCATCACCTAAGGTATATATCAGTTTTTCTCTCTGGACACGATATTCTGTCTGTAGTGCTTGAAATATCTTGAGGTCTCTCTCCCATTGTGGGCTTGAGCTTGCCAATTCTCTGTTTACCAATTCTAGATTCTGAGCAGCAACTGTAAAATGCTGACTTTCAATGGCTTGAGTTGCTGCCTGCAGAGCATCATGGATGGTGACCAGTTTATCCAATATCTCCAGGATTCTGTTAGTTTCTTGCAGTCTTGTGGATAGCTCTTGAAACTCATTGGTTGACATATTGAGTTGGTTCTTTATCTGGAATACAACACAAAAAACAATTATCAAAATTATCAAAAGAATAGGTAGATATAAAGGAAATCTTACCAATTTGCCTAAAGTTAATCATTTAATCTGCAAAGGTCATTTTTTAGAAAACTAACACAGCTTTTAATTGAAATATATTGTCAGATATGAGATTCTAAAATACCAACTGTGCAAGACTTTAAAAAATTATTTGACAGAATAAAAAAAAATTAAACATATTATATACTGCCAACAGTTATACCTCATTGTCAATTCTGCCTGTCATAGACTCCATTTCCTCCGACAGTGATTTTACACGCTCACCGAGTTCCACTGTAGAGTGAAGCACTGGGTAGAAATCAACATGTTTCTTCTGCAGGGTTTCATACACTTCTGTCTTTACATCCCGTATCTTACCAGATAGCTGGTTCAGCTGTGTAGTTGGTATGTCTTCTTTTTTAAGGCTCCCTACAATATCAAGGGACAGTGTCAGTTTGTCTGAACTGGAGAACATTATAATCCTGTGCTCTATTTTAGATGAAAAAAGGCCATGCATGTATTGAGTGGTAAGGGATTAATCAAGTAGGAAGTCAGCATATAATTCATATAGTTGTTTTTGTCCCTAGCACACCTATACATTTCCACATACTACATAAACAGACCAAACACCTAAGGGGATTTAAATAATGTTAACAACGTGTGTTTCAGTGACATACTATTAATTCAGCTTAGCCTTACCCTAGCCTTAGAGGGAGCAACACAATGAAGCTAGTAGTTAGACATCAATTCACCTATGATATTTAATCGAGGTCTGAAAATCGCAATCTAAACTCGTAAACTGCGAATTCCTCAACAAATATATAAATGGCGGCAGCATAGCTAGCGTACACATACCAGCAGTTGCCAGAACTTCGGTCACGAACGAAGCAGCCGTGGAGGCCATTTTGAAGGACGTCCTCCTATAATATCGTTCTAAAAATAAAAATTGGACGTTACATTATATCGTCAATTGCATGAATTGTCTCCATTACAAATGCTAAGCAAGGGATATAAGTCGTCGTGATTTACATCTGTGTTATAGTTATTTCAAGCCTTACCCGATGTGCCAATTTACATCAGTTTAGATACAGCGCGCCTTCTTTTAGCCTCGTTTCCACATCATGCCAAGTTGTCAATTTCCAATATGGCGGCCTCCATGAGAGAAAAACAGACCGGTAAATTTTACTAGTTTTCCTGCTCATATAGATTTCTCTTTCTTTATTTCAGAGGCAGATATATTTTAAAGAGATATTTAAAAAACACAGAATATTCATAAGCTACCTCACACCTCGTGATGTAAAGCATACCGGTGTCAGCTTGTAAGGTGGAAGGAAATACACAGCTGACTTGGTTAACTTTACACTATTTAAAAATGATGGAGAGTTTTTCTATTTTATTCTAAGGGATTAAGTAGTTCAACCTCTAATTGCATTATTTCTTTACAAAAGTTTTACCACAAAGAAAATTCTTTTCTAATGCGGAGGTTANTGAACTTACTTCTGCTTGACTGAACCTTAGCTCAACCATGGACATTTGACCAGCTTTGACATCCTGACTCTGTGGAACTACCCACACAACATGCTTTGACCAGGCATCACCTAAGGTATATATCAGTTTTTCTCTCTGGACACGATATTCTGTCTGTAGTGCTTGAAATATCTTGAGGTCTCTCTCCCATTGTGGGCTTGAGCTTGCCAATTCTCTGTTTACCAATTCTAGATTCTGAGCAGCAACTGTAAAATGCTGACTTTCTATGGCTTGGGTTGCTGCCTGCAGAGCATCATGGATAGTGACCAGTTTATCCAATATCTCCAGGATTCCGTTGGTTTCTTGCAGTCTTGTGGATAGCTCTTGAAACTCATTGGTTGACATATTGAGTTGGTTCTTTATCTGGAAAACAACACAGAAAACAATTATCAAAATTATCAAAAAAATAAGTATAGATATAAAAGAAATTTACCAATTTGTCTAAAGTTAATCATTTTATCTGCAAAGGTCAATTATTTGAAAACTAACACAGCTTTTATTGATATTTTGTCAGATATGAGATTCTAAAATACCAGATGTGCAAGACTTTAAAAAATTATTTAACAGAATAAAAAAAAATTAACATATTATATACTGCCAATAGTTATACCTCATTGTCAATCCTGCCTGTCATAGACTCCATTTCCTCCGACAGTGATTTGACACGCTCACCGAGTTCCACTGTGGAGTGAAGCACTGGGTAGAAATCAACATGTTTCTTCTGCAGGGTTTCATACACTTCTGTCTTAACATCCCGTATCTTACCAGATAGCTGGTTCAGTTGTGTAGTTGGTATGTCTTCTTTTTTAAGGCTCCCTACAATATCAAGGGACAGTGTCACTTTGTCTGAACAATACAGGAGAACATTATAATCCTGTGCTCTATTTTAGAAGAAAAAAGACCATGTATTGAGTGGTAAGGGATGAAACTTAGAAAGTCAGCAACACATAAATTATATAGATGTTTTTGTCCCTAACACACCTATACATCTTCACATATTACATAAACAGATATTACATAAACAGACCAAACACCTAAGGGGATTTAAATAATGTTAACAACGTGTGTTTCAGTGACATAATTCAGCTTAGAGGGAACAACATAATGAAGCTAGTAGTTAGACATCAATTCATCTATGATATTTAATCAAGGTCTGAAAATCGCAATTTAAACTTAAATACTGTGAATTCCTCAACAAATATATCAATGACAGCAGCACAGCTAGCGCACACATACCAGCAGTTGCCAGAACTTCGGTCACGAACGAAGCAGCCGTGGAGGCCATTTTGAAGGACGTCCTCCTATAATATCGTTCTAAAAATAAAAATTGGACGTTACATTATATCGTCAATTGCATGAATTATCTCCATTACAAATGCTAAGCAAGGGATATACGTCGTCGTGATCAACTTCTGTGTTATAGTTATTTCAAGCCTTACCCGATGTGCCAATTTACATCAGTTCAGATACAGCGCGCCTTCTTTTAGCCTCGTTTCCACATCATGCCAAGTTGTCAATTTCCAATATGGCGGCCTCCATGAGAGAAAAACAGACCGGTAAATTTTACTAGTTTTCCTGCTCATATAGATTTCTCTTTCTTTATTTCAGAGGCAGATATATTTTAAAGAGATATTTAAAAAGCACAGAATATTCATAAGCTACCTCACACCTCGTGATGTAAAGCATACCGGTGTCAGCTTGTAAGGTGGAAGGAAATACACAGCTGACTTGGTTAACTTTACACTATTTAAAATGATGGAGAGTTTTTCTATTTTATTGTAAGGGATTAAGTAGTTCAACCTCTAATTGCAGTATTTCTTTACAAAAGTTTTACCACAAAGAAAATTCTTTTCTAATGCGGAGGTTATTCACGGAGTAAACCTAAATCAACGTCACTACTCAAGACGCACCCCCCCCCCCCTTAAAAATGGTATTGCTGGTGTTGTTGACTTCTGATGTAATTTTTTTCTTCCTTTTTTCAGCTGCCCTGCAGCGTATGTTAAACTTTAATATGCCAATATCAAAAGCTTCAAGCAGCGAGCCACAGTGGAAGGTGCTAATCTACGACAGATTTGGACAAGATATTATTTCTCCACTTTTAACTGTTAAAGAATTGAGAGACCTGGGAGTTACACTTCATTTGTGAGCATTAGTCTTCTTATAACATTTTGTAGTTGTTTGTCTTAGTGAAACAGGCAGTTTTCCAAAACAAATGTAGAATAACTTAAAAATATAGACAGAAGTAAAGGTTTCTTCAAAGGTTACTTGAGATACTTTTCTAGTGAAAGCTCAGATCTGTAAGAGATCAAAAGAAGAATATCACTCATGTTTTACAGCACAAATATAATTTTCAGCTGAATCCCTACATAGGTAGTTTTTCATTGTGAATATTCTAAAGAGAAAATCTCAAATTCTTTTTAGACTTCTTCACTCAGATCGAGAACCCATACCAGATGTCCCAGCCATATATTTTGTTATGCCTACAGAGGAAAATGTTCAGAGGATATGCCGGGTGAGGTTTTGGATTTTTATTTTGAATGTCAGATAAGAAAACTGATTAGTTTTATACATTTTCATGACATGTTGCCTATGCATGTGGAATAATTTTTCTGCAGTTCATTGTAAACACATTTGTTTCAAAATAACGAATTCATCTTTAACACATCTTGCAATTTTTAAAGGGAACTGAAGCTAAAAGATACTTAATTTTAAAGGATGTGTTTGCTATTTTTAATGTAACAACATCACTGTGTGTATCTTCCAGGATTTACAAAGTCAGATGTATGAGTCCTATTACTTCAACTTTATCTCTGCCATATCCAGGCAGAGACTAGAAGATATAGCCACTTCAGCCATTCAAACACATGCTGTGACACAAGTATCAAAGGTTTGTAGTGCAAAAAAAAAAAATTGGGGACTTGAGCAGTTAATTCAATTGAAAAAGGAAAGGAAAGAAGAAACTAAAAAGGCTCTTGGCAGTATGTATTGGAATAATAGCATATATAAAATAATGCACATGATTTTTGTTATTTAAATTAAAACTTGAGGGAAACCTTAAGTTACCCCTTGATAAGTAGACCTGGCTTTTCAGTGATAAATTGAAGCCATGTGGTTAATTTTCAGGTGTTTGACCAGTATTTAAATTTCATCAGTTTAGAAGATGACATGTTCATTTTGAGATATCAAAACAGTGAGCCTATTTCATATTATGGTGAGTTAAACTTCTATCAACTTAGGCAATTGTCAAAGACCTGTTAAAATTTTGCCTTTTACTTTAATCTCTGAGTCATTAAAATCAACTTCCATGACCCTGATATAGAAACCATTTGATACGTAATTGATAATGAAAATAGAGTAAGAAAATATCCAAAGAAAAGTATCAGAATGCCATGTTAGAAATTGATTTTAGGTTAGTTTTTGTTTTCACCTATCAAGAGTTGAAATTTACTTCTGTTTTTTAGCCATCAACAGGGGTGATGTAAAAGACTCAGAGATGGAGGCAACAATGGACACTATTGTTGACAGCCTGTTCTCAGTGTTTGTTACTTTGGGTAAGTGGAATTTTGAATGTTCAAGAAATGTTTCTCATAACAAGGGCAGTACAGTATTTGCTATTTAACAGGATATTCTATGTTAATATTACAGTTAGCTGTACAAAAACATTATATCAAGAAGTTTTTAACTGTATTTTTGATCTACACAGAAATGAAAAAAAAAAAAAAAGAGTGGAATAAAAAAGAAACCCCATCTTAAAAGGACAGATCATGTTCAAAGATATTTCTAAACTTAATTTTTATTGAAGTAATATGTGTTCAATAGATATCTGATAATATAAAATATTATTGATTTTTGACAAATAAGGTACAGTGCCAATCATACGTTGCCCCAGAGGGAATGCTGCTGAAATGGTTTCTGAAAAGCTGGATAAAAAATTGAGGGAAAATGTACGAGATGCTCGTAATAGTTTATTTACAGCAGACAGCATGCAGAGTGGACAATTCAGGTTAGAAAATTATTTTCATGTTTATCAGTAAGCATTTTTCTTTTTCATATTGCACACTTCAAACCATCTTAGAATTTTTTTCTTCCTGTGAGATGGAAAAAAAAGCTTTGAAAATAAGATACAGCTCAAACTTTGAATTTGTCAGAATACTACATTAGACAACATAGACACATATTTTATTTTCTTGACTTATCACTTGAAAAACTATGTCATGTCATGATAGGATATATAAGCTTTTCAAATGAAAAGTCAAAAGAAAAGTGATATTTGCTCATTGTTCCCATTCTCATTTCTACATTTAAACTGAAGTGAGTGACATGGGAATTATTTCTGATTTTTGCCATACAGAGTAACTAAACGGTATGGGTTATTGGTAAGGTTGGTGTTTTGTGAAAGGGTTCTGTGATGTTTAATAGAGGAACAGGAAAGGATATGTGTTGTATGCAATTCAGAAAAGATTTAGCAATGAATGATGGCAATTTTTTGAAAAGATTGTCAAGGCCTTCGCAAACCTATTTGATGTTGGTGTCTTGTAGAGGATTTTGAAATCGGAGGGATAAAAAAAGCATTCATGTGTTTGTTGGCACATGAAGTAGCTTTCTCGGTTAGTCTGGCTCTAAAATTTTTTTTCTTTAAAAAAGGCATGGTATTTTTTATGAAAATGTAGGTGTTGGATGTAGAAAAATGATGTAAAATGGTGGTATTATTTTTTCAATCAGTGGGGTGCTTAATTTTAGTTCATTATTCTGACAAATAATTTGTAATTTGTATTTTGTTACTGCAATCAAATCTTTTTGCACACAAAAATTTTATTAAAATTTGCATGCAAATTAACTGAGCACAGTACCAAAAAAAGATTGTATTAAGTTCTGCTTACAGAGCCTTGATTGGTAAAAATTTATAAGAGGGTCAGGTCAGTTCACTGTAACTTGGAAATCTTATTTGTTTCCAGTTTTCAAAGACCTTTGTTGGTGCTGCTAGATAGAAATATGGACTTGGCAACACCATTTCATCACACATGGACATATCAAGCCTTAGCACATGATGTTCTGGTATGTATCTGCATAGCAAAGGCTTTGAATGTCTGCACATGTACTGTAACTGTATCTCTTAAGTTGTTTGAAAAATACATTTATGACAAATTAAAATTAGGTAAATTGTAATCAATTAATTAATTGAATTGGCATTGAGATAATTAAGTCTGCTCATTGTTGTATTATGCATTTTTTCAAGGGGATTTCAGGTGAAGGATTCTAGATAATGGCTATCCACTCATTAGAGATAAAATGTTCTAAGTTGCAAAATTACATGTTTCTGTGTAATGTACACACCTTTTCTGGCAAATGTTTGTCACTGAAATACATTAATACTGATGTTTTGCTTGCAATAGGACTTAAAACTGAACAGGGTTGAAATTGAAGAAGCAGTAGAGCAAAAATCCCCAGCACACAGTGCTAGACCTAAGAAAAAGAAAAAGAGTTATGATTTGAATACCACAGATCAGTTTTGGCATGAGCAGAAAGGAAGGTAAGTGTGTAGCTTTTTTCTCTACCAATGGTTTTAAAGAAACAAATAACTTATAATCTAAAAACTTGCAGTCTTATTTTGACCCCCCCCCCCCCCCCCCGCCAAAAATAAAAATTTGTAGCATGCTTCTTGCAATTCTATCTTGATGACAATTTTCTCTCCAATGATTATTTTTACTTTGTGATTGTACATAATTTTTCTGAGAACATTTTGCTATTTACCCCCAAATTCAGTCCATTCCCCACTGTGGCAGAAGCTGTTCAGGAAGCCCTTGAGTCATATAGAAGTCAAGAAGATGAAGTCAAAAGATTAAAACATGTTATGGTAAGTTCCAAAGAACTTCACAGAACTTTGGTTGTTTATACGTTTTGTGTACAAGCATTGTCATCATAGTGACTATTATTTTAAAGACCGCTTGTTAGTATTTATAAAAAGCAGTTTATGAAATCATAACTATTCACTGCCATCTCTCACTTACCCCCTGCTCTGGTTTTTTACTATTGAATCGACACAGTTGACTAAGATTTTCAGATGAGTTAAAACATGTGCAAAACTACCATTTGACAGTTTTGGTTTTATTTGATGTTGTTTTATATAATTTATAATAATTTTATTATTTTTTTTTATTATTTTTTATTTATTATTATAATTTTTTTTTTTTTTTTTGGGGGGGGGGGGGTATTTCTGTGAAATGGCAGTCATATTTGTTTGAATTTTCCAGGGTTTGGAAGGTGAAGATGATGCTGCCATCAGTATGCTTTCTGATACCACAGCAAAGCTCACTTCTGCTGTAAGGTAAGACTCCAAACCTCCAAAGAGATAACATTTCATTTTTGTATAGATTTGAGAAATTTGGATCTGACAATATACGAAACTATTCCCATGTAATTTCAAATAGAAAATTTCTTCTGTGTGGATCAGATATCATTGGTGCCTTTTCATATTCAGAATTTTCCCCAAAATAATATAATTTATAATAATAATAATATAATTTTTATTATTTTTATTATCTTATCCACAATACTTCTCATATAATTTGAAAATGTAAAAATAAACTGGAAAAGGACTCTGAGAGCGCAGACCTCTGCCAAGGCAGCAGTTTATTATTATTATTATTATTGATTATTGATTGATTATTGATCCAGATCACCACATCTGACAGTTCCTGAAAATTTCATCAAAATCAGTCCATAACTTTTTGAGATATGTTGATGACAAACAAACAAACAGACAAACAGGGGGGAAAACATAACCTCCTTGGCGGAGGTAAAAAACTGGCTGGTTTTGTCTCTGAAACTCCTGATTTCATGAGATCTAGAAATGTGCATAGACTTGAGATATTACAACAATTAATTTATTGAAATTCTTTAAAATAGCTAAATGTGCTTCATCTATATATTTGACCTTGTTAATATTTTTAGTTCCCTACCAGAGTTGCTGGAGAAGAAGAGATTGATTGACATGCATATGAACATTGCAACAGCTCTGCTGGACCAAATTAAGGTAATATTCAACACCAAAAGCCATTAAAGTTACACACTCCATGGGTTTGAAAATACCAAAATGCTCATTTTTACCATCCACAGCTTTTAATAAAACCTTACATACACCTTTAAATTATTTAACCCCTTGAATATTTTTCTGGGGAGAACCTGATGTTGATATTTCCATTGGGGCTTATAGGAAAATGTATTATGATTGCTGTTATGACTGGCCAGTCATTTCAAGTTATAATCAACCTTTATAAACTTTATCAAAGGTTGAATCTAAGTGCACATAGGGATTAAAGTAAATGAATCTTGATTACAAGTAAAATGCTTGTTTTGTATCTTTTTTTCCTGCTGTATTGTTTAACAGGTGATTGGCTTTTTTTTTGTACTTGGCATATTTTTTTAAATGTATGTAATCCATATTAAAAGTTTTTATTAGGCCAGAAAACTGGACACTTACTTTGAGATAGAAGAGAAAATGATGAGCAAAGCTTCCTTGGTAAGTTTCTTTGGGGTATTTTTTCATGTAACCGCTATTAAAAGCTTTTAACAATAATGTGGATTGGATCTTTTTGAGAAGCTTAATATTTTGCATGAAATGTACTGAATTTTTGTTTAAAATAATGTTACCTTTTTGATTGGTTAAATCTTGTATATTTTTTTACTTTAAGGAAAAATCCTTGATGGATATTATAACAGATCCTGAGGGTATGTATGCTATTTGTATGTGACACTAACTGATAATAAGAGATTCATTGATATTCTTAGGTTTTTTGTCTAGTATTAATGTTTGTTTTTAGAATAGTTTTCTGATTTGATGAGCTGCAGTAGAAGGCTTGTGAAACTTCAAATCTTATGTTTTGGTTTTTGTCAAGTCAAATGCCATTACTTTCTAGTTTTCATTTGTTTGTTTTAATGAATAATTATCATAGATGTGTATTGCTCATCCACATAAAAATGGATTAAGATGAAATAAAAAGAAATTAATAATGAAAATGAAAAAAATAACATTAAAAAAATTGTGTTTTTTTTTAGCTGGTACCCCAGAAGATAAGTTGAGACTGTTTATCATTGCTTTAGTGTGTGGTCCTACAATGACTGATGTAAGTGTTAGCTGTGATAAAAAATGAGGAAATAATCTTGAAAGCAACAAAAGATAAAAGATCATTAATGTCTTAAGTGGCTTAAGGTAAACTGTTAGATCCAGATGAATATGTGTGGTAACAAACCAGGATGGGATTGTTTCCTTTTTATCCTTTCCTGGTGATGCAAATGTCCTAAAGTGTGTTCCATCTGACCTATTTTTTATACACCTTGTATATTGCATTTCATCTAGGCTGAAGTAGACCAGTATGCTGTTGCCTTGCAAGGTGCAAACTGTGAGATAGATTCCCTCAAGTACATCAGGAGGTGGAGGTTAGTGCTCAGATATACAGAGAACTTCTGTTCTTATATTTGGTGTGGATTTTGTAGATCTCATGGTGGTTCTGTATGTCATTATTTTGAAGAAAATCGACATTTTCTTTCTGTGAGCCTTAATTAAAGTTCATTTATTACCTGCCTCTCATGGATTTTTCCTCATCGGTAATTATTATCATTCCTGATTTTTAGAGCATATGCCAAGATGACAGCAGCTCCAAGTCAATATGGTGGAGGTGGCACAACAACAGTCGGGTAAGATACTTCTATAAAGATGGTCTGAAATTTTTATTGTAGGGAAGTTTGAATTTTATAATATTTGTTTCTAAAATACATGAAAATATAGTTCTAAAAAGATATCTGCCTAAGCTTGTCAGGAATTTTAAAAAGATACGACAGATCACAAGCACTCCTTAGGTCAGCAAGTTTCTATAAATGTTGAGATCCATTCAGTGATTCTTGCTGATTGAAGAAAATGGTCAACATTGAATTTCTTATTATTCGTTTGTAGAATGTTCTCCAAACTTATGTCACAAGCCTCAAATTTTGCCATGGAAGGGGTAAAGAACTTGGTGGTCAAAAAACATGTAAGTTTTGTCACAAAATGATTGGAATTTTTTGCATCTGTCCATCACGATTCTGTTTTCTTGTATCAATAAATCTTTATTTAGAATGTAGAACAGAAAGATTGATATTACATTATTTACTTTAGTAAGAAGCTTGGTTGACATTGAGAGAAATTGACCACTAACATGAACTTTGAGCAAAGTGCTTTCTAGTATGAACATCTAAGTTTCTTCAGTGAAATTTTACTGTCAGAAATTAGCAAACACTGCACAGAAAACAAATTTTCCCGACTGTCCTTTACTATACAGTATAAAATATCTAAATTGAGCTGAAACATGTTACATTTGAAGTGTTTAAGGTTATTATTATTATTATTATTATTATTATTAACAGAAACTTCCTGTAACCAGAATAGCAGATGCTTTGATGGAGATGAAATCTTATCAGGAAACAGATGACTACAGATACTTTGATCCCAAAATGCTGAGAGCTACTGACAGGTGAGTGAGGACCACCAGGTACAGAACCCTTGTAAGCATATGTGTATTGTGGCAATAAGTTATTAATATTTTTTTTATTATTTTTAATTAATTTTTTTTTGTAACTACAATCTGAATAATGATAATGCTTGAAATTCAAATCAGTTATCAATTGCCAGAAAATAATATATCATACAATAGACCAATTTTTTTATTCATTGTAGCTCTGTACCAAGGAACAAGTCCCCATTCCAAGAGGCAAGTATAATATTTCATGATAAACGTAAATAACTCTTTTATGCTTTTTAAAATCTTATTCTGACATGAAGAGACCATTAATAATTGTTTTCACATAATAAGATCAACAGAGCTGTCATATATCACACACTGGTTCTTGTATTGTTTATATTTTTCGTGTTCCTTACAGGCATATGTATTTATTGTTGGAGGAGGAAATTACATAGAATATCAGAATTTAGTGGATTATTACAAAGTAAGTAAAGAAAGTTATTTATAGCGCTGGTATTCTTGTCTATGACATAACAAAATAAGCACAACTACCCCTGCTTTTTAAATAGACTTAATTTGGGTCCTCTGTTGCAATTTTTAGGTTCAACTCTGAAGTTTAAAACAGACTTATCTCAGCCCTTTTTCTCTACATGAATTAAATTTGTGTAAATGTGTTATTTGCTTGTAGGGAAAAACACAGTCTAGCCCAGGCAAGAAGATAACATACGGCTGCACAGAACTTTTAAACTCTTCACAATTCCTTAGACAAGTAAGACATTTCTGTTGTTGTAATAAGTTGCTTATTATTGCTTGTTACAACTGATATTGTAAGTAAGAGATTTTTGTTGTTGTTATAAGTTGTTTTTATATATCATTACAACTGATAATGAACAAGTGCATGCAGATATTTATCTCAGCAAAAAATTGATTTCACTTTATCAACAAGGACACCCTATTTATATCTGTAAAATACTTTACATGCTTCATTTGCCTTATTACCGAGCATACATAGGCAGTGGAGAAACTATATATATATATATATATATATATATATATATATATGGTGCAATATGGAATGCATTATTGAGTATTCTTTTTTGCTTGTAGTTGGCTGCTCTTGGGAAGGAAATGCCATGAGACAAGATATTCAAAGCTGGACTTTTCATGAAGCACCTTATTTCCAAAGGACAGTGTAAAACCATCAGTACCACTGCCGAGAATTATGTAAAATTTTCTTTTTGGGAAGGATTCTTTTATATTTAAAATGAAAATGTATGTCTAAAATTGGCTTGATACAAGAACTGTCAGAATAAGTTCTCTGTTATATACAGGTAATATGGGCCAGATGGATTAATGTGAAATGATAAATATTTATGAAAAGTTTCAAAATTATTTGTGGAAACAGAATTGTTACCTTTGAAAGCTTAAACTGTGCCCAAATAACTAAGTGATGAAACCTGGACCCCAATGGTTTTTACCCAGGTAAAGCCAGTTTCCTTGAAGAACTGTAACAAAGACACTTTTTTTTTGGGGGGGGGGGTGCATCTTGACCCACATTTTCACGTAAATTAATTCCATTTGTTAAAATATGAGTGAAAAGAACTCTCCTCTAGTTACAAGTGATGGTGTATATATATATATAAATATACAATAACTAGGGGGTGTGGAAATAAAAGCATGGCAATAGAACACAATTGTCTCTTTTTTCATTTATTGAAATGGTATNTGTGTGTGCATCTTGACCCACATTTTCATGTAAATTAATTCCATTTGTTAAAATATGAGTGAAAAGAACTCTCCTCTAGTTACAAGTGATGGTGTATATATATATATAAATATACAATAACTAGGGGGTGTGGAAATAAAAGCATGGCAATAGAACACAATTGTCTCTTTTTTCATTTATTGAAATGGTATAAGTAGAACAAGATTTCACACAGTTGTTTGAAATGATCCCTTCAAACTGACTAGATAATTATAAAAGATTAGTATATGTTTGGTTGTAATTATCATCTTATTGTTTGGACCACAAAACATGGTATATTTAAACAAAAACAAATTTATGTAAGATGTATATGATGTACATTGTTTCCCAAAATTCATAACAATACCGAGTTATATATCTATTCTGTCTGAAAAAAAGACTAAAAACATGCATGTATCAAAGTTTATACATGCAGACGGAAACTGCTTTGAAATGAAAAATTATATTCTTTCATAAGTGTTTGCTTTCATGTAAATATCTGTTTGTAATACTTCCTGTCATGAAATTGCAATACTCTACCTTTAGTAAATATCCAAAATACTCCTAATATCAAAATATATGGTTTCCTCACATTAAAAATTAACATTTTAACCCATATACAAGATATGCTACTGAAAAATCCTATAGGGGTCCCATCAATATGATAACATTTTTACATAAAAATGAAGATTACAGCGATGACAAACAATTGAAAATACTTGTTCCCATTGGTAAAAATCACCACAAAAACATTTATACTGAACCAATATAACTGAACAATGTTAAACTTTTGGGTGTGTGGAGGGGGGGGGGGCTCCAAATGTGAAAAAAAAAAATTCTAATTTACTGAAGCCGTCCTGTAATGTAAGCAAGCACCAAAAAGAGTAAACTTTATATCAAAGAAATTGAAGAAAAATGATACAAGTCTTATGTCACTTTCAGCAACTTCTGTATAAATAGTGTCTGAAATTCTCAATTAGAAGCCATACAGGATAAAAACATTAAAAATTATAGAATAGTTTTAAACACTTCACAATGTCCAAATTACCTATGAAAAGAATATTAGTATAAATATATGTAAAACATATCAATCTGAGTATATTGTGATTGTAAAAAGTAATATGCAACAGATTCTGAAGCTCTTCCTCTATCAAAAAATCCACAATATTGCATTGTTGTCTCTGTGTTAAGACTTCATCCTCCCATTAAAGATTTTCAATATGTATTATCTATTTTCAAAAGAGAAAGTCCAACTCTGTGTGTCAGAAAGCTCACACTCCCCTATTACCAGTCCTTTCTCTGGTTTGTGGCTGTCCAGGCAAAGTCCACTTTTCTGATGAACCAGCTGAGTGTCCTGACGTTCCCACACCTAGAAAAGATAAAAAAA